AAATGTTATATAGACACAAACTGGGCCAAAAATGCTCTTGACAGGAAATTATTCAGTGGCTATAGTTTCATATTAGCAGGAAGCCCAATTTCTTGGGAATCACGCAAGCAGAGAACTGTAGCACTATCAAGTACTAAAACAGAACACATAGCATTAATTAAACATAAAAAGAAGCAATGCACTTGCAATTTGCTATTAAGAGAGCTATTTTTTCAGAGAAGACAATAGAATTAACTCTGTTATACGACAATCAAAGTGCACAGTATTTAGTTAAAAAATCACTCTTGAATAAAACATATTGATACTCGCTTTCATTGCATTACACAGTTATATGACAAAAAGGAAACTGACATTAAGTATGCATCTACAGCAGAAATGCTAGCCGCTATTTTAATGAAGAATTCTTGGCACAGGAACAGAAAATGTATGAATCTATTAGGTCTTGAACTTTAACTAAATGCTTTTTTTCTGTTTTATTCTCTTTTCAGTTCTGTGAGGGAAAGTGTTGGAAAATTTACATTCTTCCTCGTGGAAGGGCAGTGCTAAAGGCATGTAATATTAAATGCTGTACAGTTCCACATTAAAAGCAAAACAATGAGTGTGAAGACTCTACATCCTCCTGACTGTTAGCTGGTGTGTGTATTGTACCTGGTTATTCATGTGACCAGTTGTCATGATACTCTCCAACGTGATGCAGCGATGTGATGCATGGAATCCCGAAAGGGAATAGAGCTGACAATGATAATAGGAACAGAAATCTAGCAAAATGTCCAGGACAATATTTATATGAAGTATTGCCCGGAATTGTTGCAGACAAGTAAACACTTACTGACATACCAGTTAAGTTAATCAGATGTTACCAATTTTCATCATCATATTTTTTTTCCTTCAATGCTGTATGCTGACATATCCTGTTCATCTGTTTTGCTAAGCATCCATTGAAAATTATGTTGCATAATCAAGACAATATTGTTTTTTGAAATAAGGATTTTATTATTACTATTTTTATTATTATTGTTTATTTTTCAAAAGTGTTTTTGTTTTATTATTGTATGAAGTTTGTAACTATGTTTCTTTTTTGTATGGCAACAATGCTTCTGTAATTCTTCTCTTTTAGATGAGTGCCAAGTCAAATGCCGTAATGTTTTGAAGTGAGAGCATCGACTGTTTTTTGCAGATGAAACATGTTGTTTCAGAATGTTCTAAAATATGTAAAATAAATGTTTTGTTTTCTGAAATCGATTATGCAACTGTTATTTTGTTTCAACAGATTATGTTTAACTTACAGCAAATATGCTCCTTTAAGCAGGCAACCAAGTTTTATACTATGCTACTCTCAACGTCACCCAAATTAAAATTCAACACTTGTCAAATGAAGAGATGACTGATGATGTTAACGGCTATTTGGGAAGATCTTAAAGGAAACCAGCAGACAGTTAAAAGGTCAGGGAAACATTGAGTTAAATGCAGCAAACAATAATCAAACATAATTTGAACCAGTTTACTTTATTTTCTCTATGATTCTAAAAGCTTTTCAATCTATCACCATACTTTATAACAGAGCCTTGGAGAACATTGGTTTATTGGCAACACTAGAATAAATATTACATCCATGCAGAAAGCATGTATAATATGAAAATAATACTTAGGCTGTAATTTTAAACAATTTCAGGAAAATAATCCCATCCATTTTAACTAACTAAGAATAATAATTCTGACTGAGTGTTTGCCATAATCTACAATTTCTTTCAATTAGTTAATGCATCTATCTGTATTATTAAAAGTTGTGGTTAGATTTTACTTTTGAAAATATTCTACATTTCTTGTATGGGTTTTATACTAGAACTATTTCCAGGTCAAGCTAGCATTCGAAGACTTTAGAAGTAAAATAATTAGAAGTTTAGAAATAATTAGAACTACTTTAGAAGTAAATAACAAAAAATACTGTTGCCACTCTGTTTCGGACAGAGAAGAATGTTTATGAGTAGGTAAGCAGTGCTGAATCATCTGTGAAAAACTGTTTCTTTTTTTATTTGTTTAATTTCTTATACATCATTTTAGATTTATTATAGTATTCCAATAGAACATGTGGTAATTCTTCAGACAATATACTTTTTGTGCATTCTGAGTTATAAAATGAATGAGATGTAAATGCCGTTAAGTGAACCTAGCACCAAAGTGTCGCTATGGTAAATAAATATAGTGAACTTTAAAGAATGCATTTATTCTATGGTGGTTTATGCACTATCGACAAAGAGTAGATTTAATTCAAAATTCATTAACTTTTAATTCAATATTTTTAAATGAAAATTGCATATAATTTAATATTTCATACATGGAAGTCATGTAGTGTACACATCAGATTTTTGAAAAATTGCACCTCCTAGAAGAAATCATATATTAAGGTGTGAAAAATATATTTTTCCAACATCTCCTACTATTCTGTATAAATTTATACTTCCTTTAATTATTTTAATGTGTCTGGTACCATAAACAGATATACATCTCCTAATCATTAAAGACGGGTGATGCTTAACTTCAATTAAAATTCAGCCTTTTTTATCTCCTTTGACTCTCCTCCTACAAACAAACTGAACTCTATCAATAAGTATTTGGATTGAAGCTTATTGGGAAAAAAAAAACTTCTGGCAAAAAAAAAAATTATCAAGAATAATGAAAGAAATATTTATTAATTAGACAGAAATAGAGAAAAGATTAAAAAATTAGTAAAATTAGTTTGAATACGAAAAATAATTAAATTTGGAATAAATACTTTGCTCCAATTTTAAAAAGTCCACGTGAACAAATTTGGATCTAAGAAATGAGTTTCTTTACCAGAGAAAGTATTAGCTTAGGTTTTTAATCCAGTTTTCAGAAAGCATCATTTTACATAGTTGCTGGCTGAGATATCCATTTTACTTGCAGTACTTATATACCCATTTTACTTGTGTGGAAAATAATCTATGATTTTTTAGACTCAGTATTATGCGTAGGACATCTTTTTATGCAAACATCTGCCTAAAAGTTTTGCTGATAAATTTTCATTTTATTGTTAACCACTCTCTTTCTTTTTTTAAAAAAACCCTTACAGTTTCTTGTAAAACTTTCAGTTTTTTTAATAATTTTTTTTTTTTTTTTTTTCCAGATCAGTATGTCTTTTTGTTTCAAGTAATGCCTCACAATTTTTCTTCTTAATTTCTCATACATATTTTTCTTTTGCCCATTTCAGTTGTTAAATAAATTTAGTAAAATAATGCAAAAATAAATAATTTAAAGATTAAAACAAATATACAAAACTTAACAACAACAAATTGAAATGAATGAATAAAAGAAATAAATCTAAATATTAAATTTATTATGCCAGTCAAAGTAACAAAAACTGTTAACTGTCCAAATAAAGTTGACCTTTCTTTAAAAAAATATATAAAGAATTAATTTAAATGCAAATAAAAACATGCTGCCATTTACATTCATTAAATGAGATTAAACAAATTTAATTCATTTAAAAATTCCTTTTCTGAAACAAAATGCACATACAAAAACTTTGGTAAATAATGCAAACCATGCAAAAGTAAAAAATCCATAATTTTTTGCACAAGACTGTAAATAAAGCAAACAAACTAAGGGAAATTTACAGCTTTACAATGTATTATCCCATTTAAATGTTTAAACAAGAACATAAATACTAAGAAATGTTTGATTTTAAGCAAATGATGTCAAAATCTAAAACTTCACCAACAGGACTCTGAAAAAAATTCTTTCACGAATTTTTTATTTATTCTTTTTTTTAAAATGGATGATGGATTTCTTTTTTTTTTTTTTTTTTTTTTTTTTTTTTTTTTTTTTTTACAAACAGAATCTGCTTATCATAAAAATTATATCCTAGCAGTTGCAAATTTAACTAAGACATGAAAATAAATGTCACTAAAAACAAAAGATTAATAATTTGTTTCCATGACTTTATAGTCATGAGAGTAAGAATTTATATCAAAATATAAATAATTAAGATGTTAAATTCATAAATCTGAAGATTAGTATGAAGGTACTGAGAAATAAAGATTCATTAAAGCTCTTATGATATACTGAACTTATTTCCTTATCCCTCTCCAAATATAGATTCTGAAAAAGATGTTATGGTGTACAGTTTTCAATAAAATTCAGTCTATTATAAATATATGTTGTTGCCAAATGACAATATATAAGACATTTCATTTGTCTTCTGTATTACAAAAATGCATTACTCATCAGCATAACAATATTTTAGCATATTTTAGTTCTTCTACATGAAATGCTTTTTTAATAACTTTATTTGAGATTTTATTTTGGATACGCTGTTGTCTAACTGCATCTCAAATGAAATTAAACGGTGAAAATTTTCAGTGGCATGAGTATGTACGGTCTTTCTCTGTACATTTCTTTTCTTTTCTATAAAAAAGAAGAAAAAAAAAAAAAACAGAACCAAAGAAGTTTTTAAAACTGAAAACCTTTCTCAGTTGAATTTTATTTGGATAAGTAAGATTTAGCTTTATGCATTCAGGAAGAGTAAATAATACATTTATTTAAGAATAGAAATGAAATATTTGCATGATTAGTTATACATTTTAACACAGAACATTTTAAAGATAAATTCTAATTTATGACACACTAGATAGTAATCTGAAGTTTTCAGGTAGCAAGCTGATAACAAAGGATGTCTAAAACCAAGAGCATGAGATCAATACGAACTTTAGGCCAAACTAATTTTGTTTCCTCTCACATACATATCAAATGTCTTATACTAATATAATACTCAAAATATGTCCCGGAATTAAAACCTTATACTACTGGGTATATGCACTAAACCTTGTACCACTAAAATTTGTTAATACTAAAAATTGTACTAACCAGTGCCCCTTGTACTACTGTCAAAACTTTATACAATTAAAAATTGTACTGTAATGTGTTCTACATATTTTTCAGAGATAAATATTTCAGATATATTCAAAAATACTTCAACTTACCTCTTCACCAACTTTTAATCTTGATGGAAGATCATGGCTAAAAGAATGATGAATATTAATATAGATAAAAATCATATTTTTACATACAATAAAACTAACTTTACTTTATGATCAGATATTTGGCATTTGTACTTCTCTTCTAAATATCCAGCAGCATTTTTAATTTGCATCAATTTCTCTTTCTTACTGAAAAATAATGGACCGTATTTTGTACTTTACTGATTTAACCAGCAACTGGTGCAAAAATTTTGACCAATATAATATTTATTTCCTAGATTTATTTATTTATTCAACTGTTTCGAAATTTTTTGTCATAATGACTGCATAATTAAGAAAAGATATTTAAAAAAATTTTAAATACAATTTGCAGGCAGTTCCTTTCATCAATAAAAAAAGAGAAACTTACAAATTAATACTTTAGATCAAATTTAATATTTGAAAGAAAATTTTTTTAATCACTTTTACCTATTTTTTATTCGCTTCTGTCACTGTGATGTTCTGATAAGCCTTTTCACAAATGGCATAACTTCTGATATCATATCTCGTGTTTTGATTTGCAAAGGTAACAAATTTTTAGTACTGAGTACTATACTTCCTGCCACACATTTGATGTAGCAAAGTGTTAGTGTTTAAAGGTGCCAGTGTTTTTAACATTAGAGATCCTGTGTGACAATGAATATTTGAAACAAAAAGTACACAACTTTTTCCTGCTTAGCAACAGAATTTTCTCCATTATTTTCAGTAACACAGGAGCTATAACCACATACGATCCTAGTGTATGTCACCTTAATAACAACAAATAATTTTTGCCATTGAAAAATCATATATCCGAATAATAATAATAATAATAAAGAAAGAAAATCTGAAAGGTTTCAGATTTTAAATTACGTCCAAAGGAGCATTTTTTTTAACATTTTGTGTGTTGCCTTTATTTATTAAATATCATGTCTGTTGCATTAAGGCTCTGTTCAGACGAGGGCGTAAGGGGCATAAGTGGTTAAAGCCGAGCTTCGTTGCCAAGGCAACCAGTCTCTGCTACGTCACAGAATCTGGTTTAGGGCTCGTGGTATAGGGTTCAAAGTTTTTAACTTTACACCGAGTTTGGGATAAGCGTCGACCAATCAGAGCGAAGCTAAAACGAAGGGGCTTTCTTTAGACGATTTCGCTGTCACATCGAATGCGACGTTTTTTTTTTAATATGGAACACATCGTATCCAAATGAGTTGTAATCGTATCCAAACGAAATGAGGAGTTGTAATCATATCTGAACAAAATAAAGAGTTGATCTCGCAAGAAATATACGATGATGACATGCATTTTTTAATGAGTTTTTAATGCATTTTTTAATGAATTTTTCAATTTATATTGAAAAATATGGATGAAACTCATAAAGCGAAAGTTAAGCTCAGAATTATGCACGCTGTGTATGATCCTGTAGATGACTGATCCCATCCAATATTTTTCGTTTTATTGTGTAAATTCTTTAAAAAATGCATGATTGCAAAAATTTTATTTTTTCTGTGTTAATTATTATTATTACTTTCTGTCTGTCTATAATTTTTAAAAAAATTTATTTCTATAATTTTTTCCTGTTTAATTATTTTTGTATTTAAGAATAAATTTATTGAAAAAGCTGGAAATATTGTATTGCTATTTGCTTCAAATGCTGATTTTCTTTTCAAACAAACTTCATGAATTAATTTTACTAAAACATCAAATCAATATCAAGAATCTGCTGTTTTTTTAACAGTAAATATATTACTTTAAAGAAAAATGAAAAATTATTTTCACTTATTTAAGAATAGTCACAATAGTCAATTCAATGGTGTAAGCTTTGTATAAGTAATAAAAGATTATTCTTTTGAGAAAATGCTCTTATGAATTCCAAGAAGGGAAAAATGTAGTGAAATATCCTTAAAACAGTCAAGAGTCTAGACAGTTTTGTCTCCTGTTGAGGTTCTGTTCTGTTTTTTAATTACGTTCTCCATGAAAGGAATTTACTTTTAATGAAACTGAATAGCACACATAATTCGTAACATGGACTATAATTTAATGAATAGTATTTATTAATATTATCCACTCTTTATTACTATCATTTCAATGAAATTTTGATCATTAAATTCATGCTATTTCTCTGGTAGAAATTCCTGGATAAGGTATGAATGTTTATAATTTTGATGTATATAAAGACTTGGGTACCTAAAATTTGTCAATGTGAAATTACTTTTGAGATTTGGACGTAAATAGAAATGACAGCATATGTTGAAATTAAATTCCAGGAGTGCGGCTTATACATGTGAATTATTAGAAATAGGTGTATACAAACAGCTGGCAACACAGCAAAATGTATTTAATGATTGAGCATAAAATACATTGTTGGGTGAACGTTTCCTAGTATTGTACTAGTTGTGGTTGCTGGTCATTGTGACCAGTTGTGGGATACTAGTACTAGTGATAATTGATACTGGTAGTGCAGCAAACTACTATAGTGATCAACAGGGACAGTGACTAAGGAGTGCTAAGCACACATGTTTCACTGTCATAGAAACATACTCCTTTTGATTGAAAATTTAAAAAATAATAATAATAATGTATGGTAAGTACTGTTTTTAGCTTAACTGCTTTCACACCTGCAAAATGGAAAAATATTATATACAGGCTATCTGTTAGTTATCCTCAAGATTTTTTTTTTTTTTTAATTAGGCATATTTAGAATATCGTATTTCTCCTAAGAGAAATTATATATAAAAATTGAGGAAGGTTTTATATATATAAATATGCATGTACATGTTTATAGTATAGAGAGTACTACAGTACAATGCAGAAATATTCCATACTGCTTTGCACAGAAATATATGTGCCAACCAAGTATTGGTCTTTTAAAAAAATATCTCTCGACCATTTCGTTCTTTTTCGTTTTTTACCTTCTTCCGTTGCCTCTTGCCTAATGAGAAGGGCAGATAAAAGGTCATTCTGTTGAGCCAGTAAAACTTTGTGGCGAGCTGAAAAAGCCATGACACAACGAAAAAAACAAGCAGAGCGAACGCGGGAAATCAATCGAGCGGGAGAACAGCGCGGGAAAGTTGTAGACATTCAACGCATGTGCAAATGTAGCTTCTCTCATTGGCCACGGCTTACACCTCGTTCTCGCAAAGTGTGAACAGGTCTCCCGTATTTTATGCCCTTATGACTATGCCTCTATGCGCTTTATGCCCACGTCTGAACGCACCTTAAAGCATAAAATTCAGTTGAAGAGCAATATCGCAAAATAATTTTAAATTGAGCATGTCTTTAGAATTTCTGATACACAGTCTCACATGGAGAAAAAAAAATGTTTTTTCTGTACAGCGTTGCCACTCCTCGCTTTAAAATCCTTGAGTTTGTTAATCAAAAATCCGTTAAAGTTGGGCTTCCAGATGCCCATATTTGAAGTAGGATTACATCATTCAAAATTGGATAGCTCTAAGTACCACTGTTTTATCACAATGCAAGAAACATACATACATTTATGCAGATTCTTCATTACTTAATTCCTTTAAATATAATACAGTGCGATAATATTTGGTGGCAACAATTTGAAAAGTGATACAGCCTTTTAAAGTTTTCAAAGCAAAATGCCAAAACGAAAATAATAGTCCTTCAGTGCAAATTGCCCCTTTGGACTAAAAATCACAGCAAAAAATAATTTTATATGTTTTTCTCCTTATTTCAAAATTTAAAGTATATTACTCTAGTGTGGGTTGTAAGATACTTATACAACATTCTGTTTACTATGCAAAAATTCATTTACTTATAAGTATTTCAGAAAAAGGCTTCACATAAACTTTCATGAAATTTTCCTCATTGCTTTTAAAAAAAAGTTTTAACAGGTGCAAGTTCATACAACAATACAACCAAGTAATCTGAAACAACACGTATTTCCAACCAATGATATGCTCTCAGAATTTTTATCAGAATATTCTTTGTGAAGCATGCAAATATTGCAATATTATGTTTCACATGCAACTAATCATGCTATACCATGAATCATAATTTTTAAGTCATTCCAAAAAATAAAGAAAAGATAAAAGAAAGATTTTTAATGCAATTAAACTATTAGAAAATAAGTTTAAAATGTTTTAACTTCTTCCTATGAACTTTATTAACTGCAATGAACACAATTTATATTCCTGGATAAATTAAATCTGTTTGATAAATTTATATATTAAGAAACAAGAATTTGTTTCACTCTCATAGATTTTAAAAAATATCAAAATTCCTATAAACAAAAATTTATCTTTAATTGCATACCCTGTCTTTCCCAAATCCCAATATTACATCCAATCTTGCATGGCAGTAAATCTTAATCTGACTTTTTATTATGGATAAATAATAAGCATATCATGTAGTGAAATGTATTAAATGAGATGAAGCGACACAAAGATATTTATAAGTCAGAAACAACTTATAATACTGCAAAAAAGTAACTTTTTCACTTGCTAAATGAAAAGACTTAAAAAATACAGAAAAATATTTTAAGCGAATATATACAAACCTACCCAAAAAGGTACCAATCATATGCCAATGTCAAATATGCCATTTCTACTGCACTCAGACTAGAATGAGCTCTGCCATCTGCCCACAGCGACATTCTCAATAATGAAATGAAAAGTGGAGTGCGATCCCAACCTGATATACAATGTATAAGAATGCTTGATGTTCCTGCAATTATTTTAAAACACAAAACTCAATTCCAATGAATATATTCAAAATGATTAACTAAAATACATATTAGCATTAATAGCACTTTACTTAATAAAAGCATGAACTTTTGCTTACATACCTTCGACAACATACATCAAAAGTAGCTTTAAGTAGTTCTGAGTTAACTTGACTAGATCCCACATCTAAAACCAGAGTTAATAAATAAAGTGTCACTACATAGCTTTTATACACCAAAGTGGAGATATCACACAGCATCTTTAAAAATTTCAAATATTATTTTAAAAATAGGGAAAATTTCCAAATAAAACAGGCTTAAAGAATTATGGGTTCTTTCTGATTATCTGCAACCCCCTGAAATGATTTCATGAAGAAATGTACTATAGTGCCAAAATAGGCAAACCAGGTAATGCATCAGATGAGTGCAGATTTCCACTTCCAAATTTAATGGTAATATTTCTGCTTAGTATATATTTTCGTTGCAGTGATTGGTTTTCCACTACAGCAGTTCTCTTTTACTTTCGTTCAAAGAAGTTTTGTCAGTTTTGAGTTGTAGATGTTTATTTAATTTTACTTTATAGTTAAAATTTTCTAATTGCAGCAATTGTTTTTCAATGGATCCCTTCATATGTAGGTATCGACAGTAATGAAAAGGCAGACTCAGTAGCCAAGAGAGGAACACGTGCCACAAGACAGCAAACCACTTCCTCCACAGTCACTTAAAACGCATATTTTTGAGAAATCACAGGATACTCTTAAATCTGACGAGGCAGCAAAATCAACAGGCAAATCCTGGGCTAACATTCAAGACACATGGAAAAAGTTTTGTCAAAAACCCCATAAAGAGGCTGTGGCAAACTTCAGACTGCAAACAGGTCACGATTGCATTGCACATCATCTTAATAAAATTGGCATCCTTCCATCTACTAGTATACGCTAAATTTGCAATTCGGGCATCATGAATGCAGAATCTTATAGCCCAAAACTAGATAAAGAGTCTCAATGTGGGGAGATAAGTCAACTATATTGGAATGCCACAGCTTTCATGAACTCCGTGTAAAGACAACAACTCTTATGTTCCTTTCCTTGTTGTTTAAATTTTTAACTTTTTACTTTTGTTCCCGTGTTTATTTATTCTTACTTTATAAATGTTTGTTCTTTTTTATTATTTATCATTGTTCTTGTGCGATACTTGCGGTGTTTTATATGTTTGGATTGATCTTTCAAATAAAACTATATGTAACAATATTTCCTAATTGCAGATATAATATTAGTTCTTTTTTTTTTTTTTTTTTTTTTCTGATTTTTAATTATTTTGCAAATGGATGGGAGAGGGCTGACCATTTCTGAAGTACTGAAAATGCTACACGAATTGCCTTCAGATAGTGAATTTGTTACAGATCCCGGTACATGTGCAAAACATGTAAATGTTGGATTGTGTAGGTGGTTCAAAGGTGGTGTCACTTTCTTCGAAAAAAACCACCATTAAAAAAATAGACAAAAGTGTAAATAATGTAAATATTATTACAGATTTGTCATTTAAATAGCTAATGTTAGTAGAATTATAAATTAAATTGTTTTATTCCCCATGCAGTGCAGCGCGTGACGAATATTAAGAGAAAGCTAAGCCAGAAAAAAATTAAAAATACAAGAGCAAGTGCATTTAACATTTAATAAATAAATGTTATTGACTAGCCGTAACCGAAATTCTACTCTTTTTGCTTTTGAGAAATTGCTAGAACAATCTCGAGGGGCCGACTTAAAAAGCTATAAAAGCCACAGAGAGAAAAATCTCAATTCAGTTTGTTTAGAAAACTGCTGTTGTTTACTGTAGCAAGTTTGCGGCGAGATTGGATTAGCTTTCTTTACATTTCTCTGTTTTGAATTAAGTTCCGCTGAATGTTTTAGTAGGTTAAAAGATAACTACTGTCAGAAATCAGAATATTGTACGAATATATCTACGGAAATTTAAGCATTTTCTTTTTATTTGTTGTAATAAGAATAAATTTTATTCACTTTCATCGGACTTGTGCATTTAATTTATTACGAACCGGTACACATGCAAAAAGTTTTGGTGTCAGAAGTGGGATTTAAATGCCAATCATAAGAGTGACGGAAGAACAGTTAAGGCTATTCATGGCAGCCTTTGCTGCATTTAAAGAAGATTAAAGCTAGTCAGGAATCAGTTAAAGAAGAGACAAAATTGGACCAAGATTCTGTTAACGAAGAGATGAAAGCAGTTAAAGGAGAAATGAAAGTGGGCCAAGAGGAAATGAAAAGAGAAATCACTTGCATAATAGAAAACAAATTTGAAGGTATGAAAGACAGAATTGACACGGTTAAAATTAAAGTTGGACAAATCGAAGAAAGAGTTTCTCCGATAAAGGAACAAATAGAAGAAAGTGTTTCTTCTGTAAAGGAACAGATAGAGGATAGAGTTTCTGCCATGGAACAACAAATTGATGACATGGTTACTGCAGTCGCCAAAGATGTTGATTCATTGAAGAAATTCATAGCGATGGCAGGGAGCAACACCAAGGGTTTTAAATTTTTACTCATGTGTACTCAGACCTCTTGGCAAGTATATAACGCACAGTTTTCTATAGTGGCGGAAGCAAATGGGTGGTATCCTCAAGCTAAGGCCTGTCATCTCGGCACTTTTCTGAGAGCAGGCACAGCGGATATCCTTCAGACTCTTTCCAAAAACTAAAGGCTAGATTTTGAAGCTCTGTCCAGTACATTGAATCTGCACTTTGGCAAAAAATGCTTAAAAGATTACAGTAGGCTTCAAGTAAAATCCCGTAACAGAAGCCAACAGAAACACTCCAGGAGCTCACCATGGATGTTGAAAGGCTATGTCACCTTGCCTTTTCGGAATTACATGGAAAATTCTGTCTCTGCAATACTTTATCAACAGCATCCGGGATCCTGAAATACAGAAAGCTCTATGAATGACGAATGTTAAAAGATTTGAAAAGCAATCTAGTGTGTGCCATGAAATTCGAGGCAGGCCAGCAAACAACTCATAGAGACTGCCACCCAATCAGAGCTGCTTAAATCCAGGAGCCAAGGGATCAAGTCACTGTTCGTCTAGACAATTTAACCAGACAACTCAATGCACCGAGACGGAATATTATTGACAAGAAACCGGCCCTAAAGTGCTGGAATTGTGTGCTGAAGGGAACATATACGAAGAAACTGCAGAACACCCCAGGGTACGGATGTTAAGACCACTCCTAGCAAGAAAGAGGGTAACTAATTAATGGTCATCTCCATGGGGCGGAGGTTGCCAGATAATGAAAAGCAACAGATTAAAGCACTTCAGATTTCTGTAGTGAGTGGCGGTAGTAATGGACTTTTCATAATGGAACATGTCAATAGAGTCCCTTGTAATATTACCATCGACACAGGAGCCAATGTTACCATCATTCGAAAAGATATGGCTTAACACCTAAAACTCCACACTGTATCCGGGGATAAAATTGACATTTATGGAAAATTAAACATTAACATGACGTTTGAAAGTGCCGCCTTTTATCACACGGCATATGTAGTAGAGATTACAGATCCTTGCATACTCGGATTGGACTTTCTAAGAAAAAACAATTTTTCCTTAGACTTTAAAAATAACAAATTGCATTCTGCATTTGAGGACATAGCCCTATTTGGAATTAATAATGAAGGAGTTAAATCTAATCATTAAAATGATCATCTGTATACTTCTAAAATTTAATACAGACAAAAGTCTTTAATCGGACTCGTCGGGACTTCGGCGATTCCGGATTATAAATCATCAGTTTAAATCTGGTAAGATGGCATGCAGAAATTATAAAATTAAAAATATGAAAGCGTAATTTATGAAATAAAGAGCAACTATGATCTAAAAGGTATCAAAATTTACGAAAAAAAAAAGCTTAATATTTATTTTTTTATTTTATTAAACATTTCTTTCAACGTGCACATGCACAAAGCATACATTATGCATAGTTGAAATTAGAAAATTGCAACCAGAAAACTATTTGATGTGTATTCGTGATATTTATAATGACAAGGAATTTGATTTAAATCATATCAAAAATGGAGTACATCGAGATGAAATACTACATTTAGTAAGGAATTATAAGTCGAATAAAATAAAAACATCTGCCCTGAAGATAAGGATAGTGCTGACAGATCAACTTCCAGTTTGTTGTGCGTCGCGATGTTCCCCCTTCCCCACACACAGAGCAGCGTGAAATTGATAAACAGTTTTCGGAATGGTTAGAGAAACAAAGGATATGCCTTTATCCATTTTTTGCAGCAATTCCACTTTTTGTTTGATGGACATCGAAACATGCTTTCACTTTGTAGATCCTTTGGCAGCTCCAGAATTGGAAATTCTTTTTGACATAATCAAAAGTTCAAGCTTACTTTTATAAAATTGCTCTAACAGTCTGCAAAAAAATAATAAGCCGGATCCAATTAGAATATTGAGGAACAACGCAATCTGCAACATTAACTGAAATAGATAATTAGATAATTTTAGCTTAGCTTATACCGTTCGTTATACATTAAACGCGAATGCGTAAACGTATTAAGTGCAAGCGTAAAAGTATTACGCATGCGCGCTAAACAATTACGCTTAGTTTGTAGCTTTGAGGTCAAGATTATAGATCATTCTGGATTATGGACGTCCGGATTAGACTTTTGACTGTATTTGCTTTCAGCCCCAAGATTACTTAAATGCATATGTGTATAATATCAAAGATAAATATTCTGATAAATCACGAAGACACCAAAACCAGTATAGCAAGAACTAAATAAATATTAAAAACACTTTTCACAAATAATAAGACAATTTATTAACATTTCATAAATTATGTAAACTAACTGATACTCACTTTATAATTTGACCAATGAATACCTAAAGCCGATATTGAATCAGAAGGTAAAGTCAGAGATGAATCAACATAATTCTGAAAATTAAATTTTACATTTTAGCTTAAACATTTAAAATCACCACGAGACTAACTCAAGAACAAAAAAGATATTACAGCATACTTACTGTAATATTTAGTACAAGTTTAAAAGTGAAAAATATTATATAAAAATAAATATAATATTAGTAAATTAATTTTAAAAAGATAGATAAAAAATATCTTGCATTACAGCACAATAAGATTTTTATTTTCCAAATTACTGTAAGTTTCAAAACTTGAAATGTTATTAATATAAATTGGCAAACTAAAAATTTTTATATAATACTATGATCAAAAGCTTTTCATAGATATAGTAAAGCAACACACACAGTAAAGTAATTTTTTATTAAAAAGCAATCTTAATTTAACTTCAGACAAAAAATACGGCTAACAATGCGTATAGACTGGGAATAAAAAAGAATTTGGAAATTATATTAAAAACAAAAGTTCTACAATAAGGAAATTATATTACAAACAATAATTATTTTTCAAAAAAGAAATGCCTGCCTACTACTAACAATGAATTTACTACTGAATTGAGAAATGAAAATAAAGTTGTAACTATATTGAAAACATTGTACTCTAAGGTAAATTTTAATTTTATAACAGTTATTTTAACTCTTTGAAACGGCGGTGGGACACCCCACCTTTTTTATCAGTTTTTATCTCCAAGAAAGCTGAAAAATTCCATTTAAAATATATGCAATTACGCCTTTAGTTTTCTAAATATATAATAGATGGCAGCACAAGTATTCATTTATGGAAATAATGCAAAATAAAAATTCTTTAAAGGTCTAATTTTGAAGCTGTTTTTTCTCCCTTACTTTCTTATGCAACTTAAATCATCTGAAAAACAACTTTTGGTGTTAGAATGAATATTTTTATCTGAAAGTTTTCGTTTCTAATAAAAATTATTTGAATCATATACATTAATTAAAAATGGTTGAAATTAAAAGGTGGAACATACGTATATGTTCCACCGCATATGTAGGAAATGTTGCTACTAGGTGGCAGCACCGTTCAAATTTTTTAAAATTCAAGTATCATGCTCATTTCATATATAGGTAATGCAAATTTATACTTCTTAATAAATTAAAGTAATGTTAAACTGTTAAAAAGATTTAGTGTTTTTTCCAAAAGAAATGAAAATATAACCCTGTAACATGAAATGTCGTTGAACACTGAATGGATATGTGAGTGTGATTCACCATAGAAAAATATCCTCAGCAGAGTAAAGAGAGGTGGAATGTAAACAAACATGACTGCCTTCTAAATATCCTCGTTTTCCAACTTGTAGTAAATAAATTAGGAGCAAAAATCTTCTCTGTTCCAAATCTATTATGAAATCATTAAAAAATACCTTAAATGTCGTACAGGGAGCGATGTTTTAAAAATTATGTACTTTTTTTTTTTTTTTTTTTTTTTTTTTTTTTTTTAATTTTGCAAATATGATCAATATTTTCTAGAAAATTATTAATAAACCTTTTTTATATCTTGCATTTTCATTTGGTTGCTAAAACTAGTACTAAGCATGTTAGGAGAATTTACACTCAGGCAAAATTTTATTGCTCTAGATGTGCGGTGGGACAAGCTGTATCCCACCACGTTATAAATTAAATTTAAAGGTTAAAGGTTTATTTTTTTTTTCATGAAATAAAATTGTATTAGAGGCTAATTATCTATGTGTAAAATTATTTTTTCATAAAAAAAATTTTTTTATGTACAGAACCTCAAAGAGTTGATTTAGTGAACCTTTCCTGTCTTATCTCACTTCAAGTTACGAATCCCTATCAGAATGAGTTTTTAAAATTGTATTGAATGCAAATGAGGAAGAGAATAATATTTAAGTCAAGTTCAATTGACTTCAATGCAGAGAGTTAGGATCCCTGAGCAAAGCACATTTGCCTTTGGCCTACGTCTGTCTGAGCTGTTGTTGCCAGGGAAGGAAAACGTTGTCGTGAATGCCTTATCAAGAATTAAATTTGACGAAGAGGGAACTACAGTCAGATGTACTATGTTAACTTCGAAAATAATTCAATCCTGTGAAACAATAATTGCAGAACTGAAATCAGACCCTGAATTCAGAGATATTTATGCATATCTCGAAGACCCCTAACATTTCTAGCATGAGGACAAAACGGCAATTAGAAATAGGGCAGCCCACTATGAAATTATTGAAAAATTGCTATTTTGCACAAAAATAACTAACAAGAATTAAGAGTGCCAGCCAATGATCTCAGCGAGTCTACGATTAAATATATTAAAAGAGCTGCATGATTCACCTATATCTGGTCACCTAGGTATACTGGTTATCATAAATTAAGGAAAAATCACAAAAATAGCGATAACTTCCTCAAAAATAAGCCAAACCGTGTAAAATTTGAATATGTTGCCAAGTAAGAGTAGCTGAGTAAAACTGCAATATGCAAATTAGTGGTGCTGCTTTCAGAATACGTCACCTGTGAGGAGCATAAAAGTCCATGTTTGAGAGCAAGCCCACACATTTCACTGTGACAGTGACATCAGAAACCTGAGATAGCCAATTCGTAACAATGACCTCCAGGCATCATTTGCCTGCAGAACTGCAAGGGAGAACCATTGGGAGACTAGAGGCGCTCATATGCCAAGGCAATAGGTGATGCTTTCCTGTTACAGGACGACAATGCAAGACCACACAGGGCTCGCATCGTAGATGATTATCTTCAACAGGAAACAATTATGCGCATGGAGTGGCAGCTCGATCCCCGGACTTGAATCCTATAGAGCACATTTGGGATGCTTTAGGGAGATGTCTAGCTGCTCTCAATCCGCCCTCTTAGACCCTTGCCGCACTTTAAACTGCTTTGCAAGAGCAATGGCTCTCGCTTTCTATGGAACTGATAGACCACATAATTGAAAGCATCACACATCGCTGTATTTGCTGTATTGCTTCTAGAGGTGATCATATTCCATATTGAAGGTACTTTTCCTATAGCAAACTGACACCTTCGATTTGTTCATTTTATACATGTGCTAATTTCTATACTACCATATTTGCCTGGTAATTTCTTTTTATGTTATTTGATACCTTACTATATGTTGTATATTGTGGGTAAGTTTCATTAAATTCTACATGTAAACTTTTTCAGTAATTGTGATTTTTGTGATTTTTCATTAATTTACGATAACCAGTGTATTAGGAAAACATTGCAAAGGGTATGCAAAGCGGTTTATTTTCTGTAGTTACAGAGTTGTGATGGTGTATGCTAGATCATGTCACATGTGCCAATAATTAACGATGTTAACTATAACCTGGCTGAGTACTTAAATAATATAAAGGCCACTTTCCCTGTTGAATTGGCAGCCATTGATTTGCTAGAATCTCATCCCAGAACAAGGCTAAACAAGAACAGATATCTCTTAAGTATCGTTGAATATTTTTCAAAATGGGTGGAAATAATTCCCCTTAAACAAGCATCAGCAAAAGTAGTGTCAGATTCGTTCTTAAATAAATATATCTTAAAATACGGGGAACCCAATAAACGTAATATCTGATATCGGAAAACAGTTCATAAGTCAGTAAAGAGGAAAATCTTTGCACAGGACTTGGCATATGTTATCTGAAAATGGTAGCATATAGGCCGTAATCAAATATAGCAGAACATGTAAACAAAAATATCCTTAAAATTACTGGGGAGATACATTAAGAATTATCATGACCGTTGGGATAGCTGTGTCAAAGACTTAACTTTTGCTTTAAGAATGGTGAAACATGATACTACACAAAAGACAACTTTATAGTTACAACTTTAATTTAATTTACAACTTTATAGTTAAAGGCTACAAACAGCCAGAAAACAGTGACTAACACTGACCAAGTTAAACTGTATTACATTCGAACTGATTTTGAAATTTTGAAAGATTTCTTTCAGGAATCTGGAAGCACACCAAGAGGTTTGAATTGGCAAACATCACAATGGATTCCCCCAGCAGCTAAAAGAAAGCCTGTGAAAATCTTGAATGGAAGTCCAGCAAAGTGAGTCCTGCCGCAATGAAGTCCAAGGCCAGCAGAGAAGAGGAAACTGTCGATGAATCGAAGACCAATTAAGCGAGTGCCACCATAGAGGGTCCTGGACGCAATGAAAGAAACCTTCTCACACATTCATGTCTACCCATCGGTAACCACCCCAAGGGAGGCAGGAAAAGATCTAGCACAGAGAATTCTGATGGGGTTAAAGGTCAGCCAAGGCAGTATCCACGTCACTCCTTCAGACAAAGAAGGCCAAAAGGAGAGTAAAAGACCCGGAGAAAAGGAGCACCCCACAGGAAATCAAGCGAAGAGCAGACTATTAAAATCCTCAACCCACACGAAAGGCAGCTCAATTCACCGCTATGGAATTTCTGAGGCAAAATGAAAGCCACCCTAGGGGGAAAATCAGAATACAGAACATGAATTGCCCCAGCTAGGAGGCATATGCCACAAAAGAATGGAAGATTACAGAAAGCAAAAAGATGAGTGAAAGTTCTCTTTGTTTTCTCATTTAGAATTGAAGTTCAGTTTATACCATTTTGTTCAAACTTCTTTTCTTAAGCAAGAACAATTGTTACATGCTGCTAGAAGCAACACTTTTTTTTAGTTCACAAGTTTGTGTGAAAATGTATTGTAAATATCTTTTACTCAGAAAGACTTGAATTTACAATGAAAATTGTTGTAAACTAGAATTTAAAATTAAATTGTAGGAAAAGATTGCAAACTATGTATAACAACTGTGCATGTCTTGATGTAAAATGAATCTAAAATTTTATATGTTAAATGTGTAAAAATGAATATAAATTTTATATGCTGAAAATAAATTTTATATGATGATTGTAAAAGTGCTTTAAACTTTGTTTAAATGAAATATGTGAAAACTTTGTTTAAATGAAAGATTGGAAAGAAAGATAATAGAATGGATGTATTTAAATTAGGCTCTCCAGCGACACGAAAGCTTAAAACAGTATAAATCACTAGATGTAGTATTGACATTAAAGTGTCATTTGAGGTCTAATGCATCTAGATTTTATTTTTATTGTTAGCAAGATGGTTGGATGGTAGTGTTTCTTTTAACACAAGACTTACACACTCATTTTGTCACATAACAAACTTCAGGAGAGTGCTGGGGGAAATGAGTTAAAATGTTAAGTGAATGAAATCTGTTTGAGGGCTATATAAATGTAATAAATGTAAATTGGAAGGGAATTTGGAAAATCTTTCCTAGTATGAAGTACTAATCCTATTTTCTTCCAGATATTTTGGAAGGACCAGAGTATGTATGATGATGTTCACAAAATCAAGAGGATGTATGTAATGCAAGTCAACCACGAAAAATTGTAAAATCAAGTTTTCTTATCTTAGTTTCAACTTAGGTTTATATTATTTGTAAAGTTGACCCTTAAAAAAATTTTTTTTTAAATTAAAACTTTGATTTCAGTAGCATAACTGAACTGAGAAATCAAAAGTATTAGAAACTAAAACTGGAATGTGTTAGAAAGTTTTTCTAGGATTTGAAACTCTCAACAAGGTCGTTGTGAGACCCTTTTTCTTCATGTACTTAAATTCGGGTGGGGAAAAGTGTAAGGTATATTTTAATTTTATAACAGTTATTTTAATTTAGTGCACCTTTCCTGTCTTATCACACTTAAACTTATAACTCTCTACCAGAATAAGTTTTTAGAATCGTGTTGAATGCAAATGAGGAAGAGAATAGTATTTAAGTCAAGTTCAACTGACTTTGACAGAGACAGTAGGATTCCTGAGTAGCATTTGCCTTTGGGCTGCATCTCTCTAGTTGTTGCACTCGGCCATATTACACGTCTTTTGATAGTTCACCGGCTAGTTTAAGATTACGGGCCTACCACTTTAGAATTCTGTTAGCTTTGGTTAAATCTCTTGGACAGTCGTTGGTTAGTTTTTTTTTGAGTTTAAGCCCAAGGTGGAGGCTTTGCTGTATGCCCAAAGGGCTCGACTGTTAATCTTATTTCGAGTGAATAAAAGGTAACTAACCCTTCTTGAGTTTACGCTTTTTGTTCTTGGAACTAAGTGATTATTCACTTAGCAGTTCAATAGATTCCTCAACACTTAATTTAACATAATAAAAGTAGAGAACTTTATAGTATAACTACAGCATTTTAATAACTGTGAAAATTCAGGCTTAAATTATGATTTATTTCAAAGCTCAATATATTTTAAGAATAAATGGCATTCTGCTTTAGTAAAAAAAGTCGCAGATACTATTACTGCATTTAATGGTCTTGTACTTCAATGGCGGGGAAGACACTTTAAACTTTTTTTTTTTTTATCACTACTTATTTTAGCAGAAATATGTTAACTACATTATCTAGATTTCCAGCAAGAACTAAAACTATAATACTTAGAATACTTTTTTTAATTAATGGATTATTTCAATGTATGAGAAAAAAAGTATTTCAAAACTTCTACAAATATGCATGCCACATAATTTTAATGCTCATAAAATCTACAAGAGCAATATTATAATCAGATAACTTGTGAGCTTGTAACTTGTAAGTGTCTTTTCCATTATCTAGATCACTATTCCCCAACAGGATTAGTATTTACCCCTGGGGATCGATGAAATTTTAAAGGAAGTCAATTATGATCAAGGGGTCATTTGGGAGTCAACAGCCAAAGTGGCATAATCAAGAATGGCAGCTATTGGCATAATCAAGACCCCATTGATTACAAAATAAATATTAATCAAATTGATAATTAATTGTTTATTAGCAGAAAGCTATATCATACAAAGTCTTATTCAAAACCCATGAGTAAACTAAGTTTTAGAATTTAAAAAACCATCTCAAAGAAACATCACAAAATAAAATTGTTACCAAAACAACATTAACTTTTTTCCCTCTCCATAGCTAGTAAATGCAAGCTCCAGTCAAGTCAATAAATTCAACAGAAAACAAGAAAGAGGTAGATTTTTGTTTTTAGAGACAATTTAAGAATTATGCTATTTTAAACCAAATAATAATAAAAAAAAAATTAAAAAAATTTGCACTTACTAAAATCAAACTTTCTGAAAACTTAGTTATATTTGAAAAATTAAAAATAATAAAGCATAATCTGATACATTTGATTTTATACAAAATATTTGTTCATATTTTTAATCTAATTATTATCTTTAAGCTATTTATGTACAATTATTTGTATTATGATTGTATTGTATACTACAGACAAAAATGCAAGGGGGGTCAATGAAGAAAACTATTCTTTTAAATGGGGTTGAAGAAAGAAAGGGTTGGGAACCTCTGACCTAGATCAAATTAACATCAATCAATATTAGGTATGGTATCACAATACCTTTTTTTAGTGGAACTCGATATTTTGCATAATGAAATTCAATCCAACATTCACCAAAGGCATATAAAATTGTTACGCTCAAATGAATTCATGTGTCATTCCTAATTTTTCCTGCAGTATGACTAATACCACAAGATTTTAGTTCGCATTATACTACTGCAACACATAACCATGGTCTAAAGCGTTGAACTAATGTTTTGTCTAACAGGACTGTGTTACATTATTATGTCTCAGTGTTTTTTTAATTTACCTTTTTGATTACTTTTACTGTTTCTGTAATTAAGGAACTCTGATTTCACACTAAAGCAGAATCCTTTTCTTAATGTTAAATAAACAGCAGCTGTTTCTTTCAACTTATGTTATTCTTTATCTATTATCTATACAAGAAAGTTATAATTCTCAATACTTTAATAGTGTGTTTGAATGCACACATATTGTTTTTATGCATATAAAATAAAATATCAGAATTTTGCACCCAAAATTAAGATACATATTTTAACCAAAATAAGAGAAAATGGCACAAGTTTTGAAAGAATAACACAGTTTTAAGGCTAACCTACGAAAGAAATGACTAAATTATGCTGATGGTAGCCCAATTTCTATATGGTAGAAGTGGGAAAAACACAATTTTAGATTTACATTCATCTCTCTTAAATATAAAATACAATAACACCATATTCAAATTATTTTAAATGTATATTTTATGAATATCGTGAATGTAACATTAGCCATAATTTGCCCATTTAATACTATTTTTTAAAAATGTACTGTACGTCTCATTCAGTACTGCAGTTTTTTACTATTCAGCACTCTATAATAAAGCAACATTATGATTAATATATTGCATATTTCTACTATATATGATTAGTTGTTAATAATTTAGAATATTTATTACCTGTTCCCAATCAAACATTAAACCTTCAGCAACATAGTTGTTGTCTTTAAATTTTCTGAAGAATTCACAACCTACAATATTAAAAAATGTCATCAACAACAAAATATGATATTTAAGTATGGACAAAACAAACTGTGGTATTTAAATAGTATTTATAAAATTTAATGTTTTGATATCATTTTCATTGAAAAATAATTACCTGGATATGGAAGCTGCACTATCTTAAAATCACAGTACCTATTTTCTTTATCTATTTTTTCTGAAGAACTAACTCTGGAATAATATAGAAAAATATAATTACTAGTTCAGCTAAAATAATTTTTGTATAACTTTGAATAGAAAGATATTGTGGAGAGTTAGGTTTGGAGGCAACTTCCCCTTGATAAGTCTGTCTCCTGCCTACTCAACAGTCATTCACTTATGCATTTTTAAAAAAAAATTGTTTAGTTTAATTTTAATTTGCTAAATTAGTGAATTTATTTTCATGGATTGGTTTTGCACTTGATTTGCTTATGCTTCTGAATTTAAATGATATTGTAGATTAGTTCGAGAATTAAATCTTTTATATGTTTGCACATTTAAAAAAAATTTTTTTTTTAATTATTTTGGCTTTTTTTCTTTTTTTAGGCTTTAAATTTGCTTTTTTTACTTTTATACACATTTGTTAAAATTTAAATTTGTTTAAATTTAAATATTTCTACAAATATTATGGTCCTAAAAGATTTGTGAACATTTAAAGTGACATTATTAGCAAATATGGAGTTCCAGAAATTATTGAAAGATTTAAAGAAACGTGTATTAATGCTAAAGATGTTATACAATTCAAGGCTTTCTTTAAAAAAATTTTTAAAAAAAAAATGTACATTTGAAAATTGTACTGTATAAAAAAGAATGTATTTGGGGGGGGGAGAGACTGCAACTGGAGAAAAAAAATGGATTTTATATAAAGTGATGTATTACATGCAACATCTTTCAAATACAAATATTTATCTTTCAGCTAAAACCTTGCATATCAAACATGGCAATCTTATTGTGTCTGACATGTTTTTACAAGTTTAGAGCATTAATATAGTTTTTATAGTTAGCTGCATTAGAGACAACTTTTTTTTTTTTTTTACTTTTACTTTCTTTTCTCAATGTTTAAGCTTCCTTTTTTGGCAAAACCATTAATGTATCCCCTTTTAATCTAAACAACACAATATTCTAAGTTCATATCATATTTTAAATAGTAAAAGATAAACTGAGTAAAGAGACGTGGGTTACTCAGACAAGAGCACCCATAGAAAAGTACTCCAGCGGGACCTGTAAATAAGCTCAGAATAATCCTTTGTTTGAATCCTGAATAGCAATGCGGAAAGAGCTACAATGTGGATTACTACAGAACTAAATTGTGGATTAGTACAAAACTAATGACATTAACGATGCGGTACACATTCTTTGAAAGGGGATGTAGGCAATTAAAATCAGGAAACAAAAGGGTTACTGCCAATTTAATTAGTAATTTGTAAGTAATTTTTATTCACATTTTGTTTCTACATTGCCAATTTAATTAATAACTTGTTAGTAATTTTCTTTCACATTTGTTATTTTTGAAGATAAGCTGTAAGCTATCTTATTTAACATAAATGAGGAATTTAGGAAAAATGTTACAAATTACATGAAATCTAAAAAAAGTGAAACATAAAAAAAAAATTCTCAAATGTTACAAAATACAGAATTCACTCAAGGGCTTTTCTGAGACTTAAAAGCTGAAGTAGGCCCATTTTATTAATAAAAGAGATAGATAATTATTAGACAGTCTGATCTAAATTAAAACTAATGTAAGAATTTTGGCAAAAATGCCTAATTAAACTGTGTTAAGAACATTGAAACTATAGTGCCATTATGCAAGTATTATGGTTTAGGTGTAGCCTTTTATGAAGAATAGCAGTTTAGTGGTAAAAATAATTTTTACATTAACAACTGTAAATTACTAATTCAGAAGTCATACAACAAAAATCAGCATTATATTTTCAAATTTTCACAGGACTAGTTTCGATGGTTTTACCGAACCATCATCCTCAGCTGCAAAAGCGCAAATGAACGAGATAGGATATAATGATTAGATAAGATAAGAAAGCCTGGACAGAAAATAAGCTAGTGGTGCCATCTCTTGATGAAACCAGAACTAAAATATAATTTCTTTGTAATATATGTCACATAATATAAGGCTGATTTTTGTTGTTTGACTTCTGAATTAGTATTTGTTCACTGTGTTATTGGTCTTAACTGTAATTTAGTTACAGTCAACAATTTAGTTACAGTAATTTAGTTAGTCAATTGTTTTTCATGAAATTATGTGGAATTTTATTATCTTTTAGCATTTTAATTAACAGATTAAGCTCTTTTGTAAAATTACAGCTGTTATTACAAATATTACTGATTTTTTGTGGATTAATATTATTGTTAGCAATAAGTTTTCAGAAGATATTGGAATTCTAATTAATTAATTTAACTGTTTTTAAATTGAAAAGTCTTCTTTGATCAAATAAAGTAATACTGTTGAGTAAAGAAAGGATAATAAAGACAATAAAATATAATAAAATCTTAAGCTGCTTAAGACTGAAAATTTCATTTTAGCAAACAATATTTTTAAAATTAAGAATATACTATCCTGCAAATTTTAAGTAATATTTTAACTGTAAATTTAGGTGAAGAAAACTGTGTGTAAAAAATAAAGCAATTTGAATTTGGTATTAAGCAAAATTAATTAATTAAAGTTTACTTAAAAAATTTTAACTAATGAAAATCTGATATCAAAATATGCATATTAATTATTTATATTTTAGTGTCTCAAACACATACATCAGAAAGTAATTATAGGAAAACTGAAATGTTTCGTCTTTCTCGATTATTTGAGTGCAAAAATAAAAAAAATTCTCAATTTCTTTAGCAAAATATTTACACCCCCATCTCAGAGTCAAGAATATACCCTAACACAAATCCAATTCTCGAAAAAAAATTTTAAAATACAAAAATAATACAAGGATGCTACATAATAAAGAATGTGCATTACTGTAAAAAAAAAAAAAAAAATGGAATTGAGAAAATGAAAAATTCTAAATTCAAAATCATATCTTATACAATAAAAATACTACAGTACAAAGTCCGATATCCGGATGTCCATTAACCGGAATGATCTAAACTCCAGACCTCTAAACCGTTTTTCTCGTAGGGTTTATGCATGCGCATTTAATTCCCCCCCCCCCCATGTGCATAATAAAACATCTGGAAAGCCCCGATTCTTAATTTCACTTTGACAACTTGTTATTAAAGAAACAATCATTTTAGCATAAATTTGTATGATCAGTAATTTGGCTTCGTTGCTGCGTTGACATACATCTCAAAGAGAAACATTATACGTAGATGCATCGTTGATCTCATGCCAACCTGGCAAATCATTATTTGTTATACTTTCCTTTCATCACCGCATGTTTATTAACACATGACAACTTGAGTAATGACTCATATGGGGGTGCCTAAACTATTTTTTATGTTAGTAATTGAATAATAAAGGAGTATGGTAACATTTTATGTTGACATTACGCTTGCCGATGAATACAGATTTAAGTTAAATGCGCTAAAAAATGTTGACTAGGAAAACTTTAAAAAAAATTTTTTTTTATATGCTAAAAATAGATATTTTAATTATACTCATGGGCTAAAAGACTACATTTAGTGCTATTTGAATTAAGAATAACTGATTTATTACTCACATGAACCCAGAACCAGCGTCAGTGCTCGTAATGGCCACACTGCGCAGCAGGATTTAGGACCGACAGACACTGCATCAGGCGGTAAGATATCTAGCACCGGCCGTCAATAAGGCTTAATTATATGTGGGAATTTATTTATTCAGAACTCTGATAAGACTTAAGTATGTGCAAGAAATAGACATAAGTATAATAAATAACTAAACTAATACAATTCAGGCTTAATTTTTGCAATGCACAATAGAAGCAAGATAAAATTTAACGGAACAACTTGTCGTTAGTCGCCCAGCTCATGATGCATAACCAAATATGTATATAGTGAATGATATATGTATATAGTGAACATTAAATTTGATGATGATAGCTGCTGATTTTAAAGGTTTTCGGATATTGCAAAACAAAGGTGAAAATCTCAATTAACAGATTTTGTAAAGAAATGTGGAGAAGCGGTAATAAATGGAGACGATATAAAAGAAGCTTTTCATTGTTATGACAACACCTTCTCAATCCTCAATCAATTAATGAAAGGCGAAATCTGTAGTATGGTTCTAGATCCAGAATAAAGTTACAGAGAAGTTACTGAAAACGAAAAAATTTTGATTGACAAGTTAGTCGGAATGCAGTTACAGGACTTCAACAATGTAACTAAACAAGAGATTATGTTTGTCTACTGAATTAAAGAGAAAGTATTAGCACAAAAAATGAAATAACTTACATTGAAAGAAATGTTTAATAAGGTAAACAAATAAATATTAAGCTTTTTTTGTAAATTTTGTTACCCTTTAGATCATAAATAATTCATTATTTCATAAATCACAATTTCATATTTTTAATTTTATAATTTCTACATGTCATCTTACTAGATTTAAACTGATTATCTAATATCCGGAAAATCCCAAATCCAGAAATCGCCGAAGTCCCGACAAGTCCGGATTTCGGACTTTGTACAGTACAACCAAATTATCCTAAATAACTTATCTCGACTTTTCAAGTTTTCACATAACAAAGAATAGAACATAAATAGAAGTTTTACAAATGAACAAGTTCCTAATTTTAGTTAGCATCCTGTTTCATCTCCTTTTTGAGGTTTTAAATGAAGCGTTCATGTCATAATAAAAAATTTTAAAAAGCGAGAGAGAGTACTTAGAGTAGAGAAGAGAGAGTAGTATTTAGTAGTTAATGGCTGCTTTTTCTGAGAAAGGTGAATGTAATATTTTGGAATGTTAATATGTATTACTGAAATTATTAAAAGGCAAATCTCTTCTTGAGGATTATTAATTTCAATACAAATATTTTTTATTCTAAGAAGTTCATTGTAAATTGTATTACTTAATACTTTTTTCAAATAATATTATATCACTTACTTTAAGCCATATTTAACTTTTTTATTTTCAACCATAAGGTCACAGATATAACCAACAGATAATTCCTTTAATAATTTTATATCTTGACTACGCAGCTCAGTAAAGAAAGCTCCATTTCTGAAATTTCAAAACTCAAAATACATAAAACAGCATTAAAGTAAATAAAAAAATTAAGTACATATACTAATATATTGATTAAAAAAATACTCTTTCACAGGTTCAGTTAAAAAATTCAGAATTAAACATTAGCATTTTTAAATATGATTTTTCTTACATTTTTGAATTCACTATTACAGCAAATATGAAAACTGCACAACTTTCCCAACCAGGAATTATTAAAAATAACAATTATAAGATATACTTCTAAATGCTTTTAACAGGGCAAGTAACAAAGCTAGAATTTATAGTGCATATTATAATTCATTTTCTGCACATAATCCTACATTTGGTACTTGTTTGTTATTGGGAGTGATTTAGAAACGTTATGTATGTATGTATGTATGTGCATGTGCACAAGCACACAAACTTCTGAATCCAACAGTTAACAAAAGTGCACCCTACATTCTACTACATGTATAAATATAGTAATAATAGTAATTATTAGTAAAGTGTAAAAAAAATTGAAGAGTTTATTTAAATCAGCCTTTTTACTTCTTTGTACCAATTAAAGGAAGTATTGTATTCATTAAAAATTTCAGGTACTATTATTTCAACACAAATATCCATTTTGATCACTCTCGAATCCATTTGAAAGATATTTTTACATCACATCTATATGTGCAGTTATAATAAAGGACTGTTTAGCCAAAACAGATTTAAAATAGATTCAGAACAGATTTTCTTCTACATACATATGTTTGTATCTCATATAGCTCAAAACCAAGTATCCCTAGAACACTAAAATTTTGTATATGCGACTGCTATAACATGTAGTTGTGCACCTGCCTTTCTCATAGCAATCGACCACACCAAACCTAAATTTTTTGCTTTAGAAGTAACTGAATTGTATTGTTCTTATGTTCTGATTAAGATTTTTATGCCTTTAGTTAATCTGTATGCAATAGTTGTAGAATTATCAACAATTTAAAAGTTGAAGAGGTGAGTTAAACATAATCACACTGCAATTTTTTTATAATTGAAACATTATTAGAATAGTGAATTAAGTTAGTTTGTCCACAAACTTTAGTATCTTGCTCTGACAAACGATCACAAAACACTATTTCGTATTTTACATTTCACTGATAAAGGTTGTTGACCTTCGAACTAATTCAGATAAACAAGTTTGGATGTTTTATATTCTTTATGCCATGATCGGAAATATATAAACATTGTGAACATTTGAACAGAACAAGAACTATTAACCATATTTCACTATGCTGCAACATTGATCAAATGACCTTGATTTGAAACAATTTTTCCTTCAAAGGAGTGCACCGTAATGTCATACTTTATTTTTCTCTTATAGATTTTTTAACTTGCAGATACTCAATATCCATTTTAAATTTCCTTTACACATCAATGTTTGAAGAGGTGGTTGGTTAATGCAAACACTGCGATGACGCTTCTATTGTAGGATATATATCCTATTCTAGTCGGACTCTGTGTAATATTTTACTTTTGGTGGGAGATAAAAACAATTCACATTCTAGTCATAGCCGAAACTACTGCTGCATAGATTACTGGAAATTGTGGCGTAGCGGAATGACACAATGGAATTTTAGAAGAAACATGACCAGCTTGACAGTTAAACATAATTTATTTTTGGATGATGAATTTCTTAGCACATATCGTCAAAACAAGATTAGAAGATGCTACACGCACCCCGTACATTAAGATATGCATTTACATTTTAAATAGTGGCAAACATCTAGCAGATTCCGAGTGACACACTGTCAACAAGCAGGCAAAGAGGCAAAACAGAGACTACGCAGTTAGTAACTATTTATTCATACTAGATAAGTGCATAAGTACAGCTAATCTGTAATTGGTTAATTTTAGGTTTTAGTTCCATTTTTCAAGCAGCGTTATGTAACATGGAAAGATCTCAAATTTGGGAGAACAGATGAATTTAGGGGGGAGAACATAAAATCTAGAATAATTAATTTTGAGATCACCAATTGTTTTCTTAAAGCAGCCCGATCATATTTTCATATCTTACTCATATGTATACAGAGAGAGAGAGACCTAAAGCACATAAAGTCAGTATTAAATTGGAGTCGAAGCAAGACAATTCCTCAACAATATTAATAATTGCAACCTTGCACAAGAGGTTTAACACAATATCAAAACAAATCAAAATTAAAATAAGAATTCAAAAATTAGTAGAACAAACTCGAAAAATAAAAATGCGAAGGGAAAATATACAAATTATAAACATATAAGAATTAATCTTGTGTTACCGAAACTGCAATTTAGAACTCATCATGGAAAATGAATTAAAAGCTTTATAAAAGTCCATTAATATGTTTTGAAAACATGTTTTGTTCTTCTGGTTCATTTGAGATCAAAAACCGTAAAAAAAAATTCAATTAAATTTTCATTTAACACATAAAAATAAAATAATATAAAACCAAAAAACTGAATCTCAAATGTACCAAAATTTTCCCTGCATGCCTTCGAAAGACTTAGAAAAAAGAATAAAACATAGCATGCGTCAAATTGACTACTCCAAAAATGCGTAAAACTTTACATTACACAAATTGACCATTTAAAAAAAAAACTGGTCTAAAACGATATTATGCAAATTCGAAACTCAAAAGCAATTACAAATAAAGAGGAAAACAAATATACTTTAAACCAAATTGTCATTTAAACAATACTAAAAAATTAGGTGTCCCTTTTAAAAGCTTCAAAGATAACTATGGATTTAATATGAAAAAACACTTAAATTGCAGATAAAACAGTATATTTACAAAAACGATAGAGCTAATTTTCAAAACATAAAAACTTAAAACGGGTTGAGTTGTAGCTGGTATTACTCAAACAACCTCCCACCTTGCAATTTGTAGGGTACCTATAAATGGCAACAAAAGTTACAAATCAAGTATATTGGGAATTTTAACACATCGACCAGCTCTAGTGACAAAATCTGGGACTTTAAGTGATGAATTATCATCTTCACTGAAATATGAATCATTAGCTGCAGGGAGTAGAGGCATCTTCATAGAGGCACTTTCATCCCTTCGAGCATCTTGAGCAATGAACAGTAACTTTTTCGAACTGTTGATTTCTAACAGATAAAGTCTCTGGAATGGTCTCAACTCTCCATCAGCTGCTCTCATTCTGGTAACTCTTGAGTGCCCATTAGCTCCAAAAAAACTTCAATGATGATTCCTAAAGGCCAGTTGATATGCTTGCCATCAGTTTCTAGGAAAACGACCTCCCCAACTCTTAAAGATTTTTCCCGGCTCCTACCTTTACGAATCAACATTGCTAAATACTCATTCTTAAATCCTGCCAGAATTTTTTTACAAAAAGCAATCTTATATTTAGGCTTGTACTGTCAATTCCATTTAAATCAGTTGTTTCACTGTTAGGAATACTTTGTAAGAAACAAGCGGGAGTTAATGGCTTCCAAATTATCTTCAATATATGTAAGTGGCCTAGAGTTTATTGTAGCTTCACAGTCACATAGAATAGTTTCCGACTCTTTATAGTCAAGACTCTTATAGTCAACTCTTTATAGTCAAGACTTTTTTTGACCAAAATTCTTCGTAGCATCTCTTCCAGCATTCTAATCATGCGCTTCCACCATCCTTCCCACCAAGCAGTTGTTGCAGGATTAAAATTCCATTTGATTTTCTTCATGTGGAAAACATGATCTTCTCCCAATCTATTTCTTACAGCATTGTTTGAACCAATGAAGTTTGTACCATTGTCAGTGTAGATTATATTTACTCTACCCCTTCAAGCAAAGAATATTCTTAAAGACATAATAAAAAATTCTGTAGACAGGAAATTGTACCATTGTCAGTGTAGATTATATTTACTTTACCTCTTCAAGCAAAGAATCTTCTTAAAGCCATAATAAAAAATTCTGTAGACAGGAAATTGACTAATTCAAGATGGACAGCCCTATAAATGGCACAAGTAGAAAATACAACCCATGTCTTTTCACCAGAAAGTAAATACAAAAGGCCTGCAAGATCAATTCCTGAAACTTCAAAAACTGCAGCAGCCTTTATTCTGTCCCAAGGATGAAGTACAAAAGGTGATACAATCAAAGCTCCCAAGAGTTCTAATTAGGAATTGTAATCACTTTGATAGGTGCCACTCTTGACTTACCCATCACTAACTTAACTGAAATCTTCTCATTAAGTTCAGAATGTAAGAAAATACATGCAGCATAGGAAACTTCACTGGCATCACAGTGTTGATTTATTTGACAGTCTTCAAATGGACCTGAGATGAGTCTCCATGGAATCTTACACTCTTTCAATAAAGAGTTCATTGACCCAGGCTAGAAATCTTATCTGATATATCTATTGGCAGTACAGCTAATTAGTTTTCCTTTTCCAAAAGTTCTGAAGCAATACTTTAGGTATCAATAAAAAGGGACATGTTATCCCAATAGCAATACTTTAGGTATCAATAAAAAGGGACATGTTATCCCAATAGAATCAATAATCTTTGGGCAGCCGATAGCACAACTTTTTTAGTAAACATTTTTTCTGGAATTTCAACCATACTGCCGCAAAAAAGTTCATCAATCCCAACAGAGACCTAGAACTTTTTTTTTTTTTTTTTTTTTTTTTTTTTTTTTTTTTTGAAATAATTAAGAATTCATGTGTGTTTTTCTTGCATATAATATACTTAAAATAAGCTCTGCAGATCGATCTTAGAATTGTGTCCTGGTTTCAAACAGATGAAACAAGCCCCCTTTTTCCTTCAATGTTTCCTTTTTCATCTTAAGTGACATTTCGGCAGCCTTAAAGCATTCTGTGGTATTATGAAACGACATATTACAAAATAAACAATCCTTGCCATTTTTCTCAGCTCTTTGCTTTTCATTAAATACAATGCAAGCTGCAGTAGGAATTTTTTCCTTCACTTTAAATTTTTCAAATTCTTGATCATTCGCAAACCCTGATAGAGCAAGTTGTAACCGCTCTTCACTTTCAACTCCCAAATGAAGAAATTTTTATAAGTTTCTTAAGTTCATCTTGTCTTAATTTTCTATACAGTTATGTATGTGTTCCCACTCCTAGATAAGAGCTTACTGCAGAGCTGATTCTACTAAAGGATATAACATTGTTACCCTTAAAGTCTCTAAAGCTCACAGCTGAGTCTCCAATTTATCATAAAGAGTAAAATTTCTTAGAATTTCTTAAAAAGAGTAATAAAAGCACTATTAAACTGAAATATAATTTTCTTAAATACTTCCATGGGTTCAATGAGAGAGAAAATTCAAGTTCATGCATATTTATTAAACTGCTTATCAGTCCACAATTATTTTTTATGTATAAAACTAATCAAGAGACACTACCAACTCCAAGCTATGTAATTCTAATTTTTAGAGTTCCATACCTGAAATGGGATACAAACTGAAGATTTGTTAAATGACATGAACAGAATATTAGACATCAAAATGATAAAAAATTATTAAAAGATAATATGAGAAATCCAATAACTAAATCAAAATATTTTCCAACTATTTGGGTAATCACTTTATAAATATTACTAAATTAGAAAATTTTAAATTTGAATCAAATTTTGTGAATTTTTGTTTGCAAATTCAGTTTATTTACTTCAATAAATACAAAATAAAAACTTGAATCCTTTCATTATTCCCAAATAGAATAATATTAAAAAAGGAAAAAAATCGTAATAAAATTATGAATACTCCTTATATTTAAAAAACTGAGTCTTCATATATGCAAGTGATCTTTGATTAACTTTCTTGAATAAAAGTTCATTCAAGTAAGAGCCATGGAATAATAAATTAGCATCATGGCATCCTGTCAAAAGAACCTATTTCAAAACAATTTTGCATAATTTCTCTCTCTCTCTCTCTGTATTCTTTTAATTTAGAATTTTAGAATTTGGATATCTGTATAAAAACATTATATTAATGAAATAATTTAAGAACGACTGAAATCAATTTACCTTGTATATGAAACACTGTTTTTTTCATCAACATCTGAACTTCCAGAAGCTAAAAAATAAAATTTAGAAGCATTATAAGGACCAGCCTTAACAATAATGCATATTATTTTTTAATTTAAATTTTCAATAATGAAATTTTGGTATTTTTCTAACTAACCACATCTTTACACAAAGTCGCCAAGCCACAGCCAACTAATTTTTCACCAAACTTATGTGCAAAAGGCAACAGTCATTTTAAAAATTAAAACTTTAAGAATTCCATAAAAAAATGTCACAGAATCACATAAATTTCATATTGTGCATGTTGCTCAAAGCAAATTTCACTGCCTGAGTGCAAAAACTGCTCCTAGCCTGTACAGCACACAGATTGAGGAAGGATCAGTGTTATGACTTAGCACAAGTGTGTTTGCACGCATGCGCTAGTAAAAAGGGAGAGAAAAACATTTGCTCCGATCAGAAGCGCTGCATTCATTTGCTTTGCATTGTTGCACTTTTCGCTTCATGACTATACACTGTTTCATCACTTGTGTGTTTATTTTTCTTTTCGAGACCATTAAGAAGTTTCTTGTTTTAAATATTTTACTGTTTTTAATGTTATTTTGAAAGAAGAACCAACGAAGAATTTTTGTAATTTTTATTCCATGTGATTTTGGTAGTTACTTGCCATGATGAACGAACCAAAAATGAAAAAAGAAGGTAGCGGACAATAATAGGAAATTTTTAGAGGCCTGGACTTTTAAATACTCTTTTATGGAGCAAGATAATAGAACTACATACTTAATATGTAATTTTATGATTAGTGTCTGCAAAGAGTATAATATTAAGCAACACTACAAAATGAAACACTCAACATGTTCAAAGCTTGAGGGGAAGGATTGAAATCCTAAAATTGAATCTGTTTGCCGTTCTCTCGTTGCACAAAAGAATGTATTTACAAAGGCATCACATAGTTTGGAAATCGCAGGCTTTGTTACTAAAAGTGGCTACCCATTTACTGATGGCTATTTTGCAAGGGAGTGTATATTGTTAGCGTCTGAGAAAGTATGTCCTGAAGCTACAAAGAAATTTTAAAATGCAAGTCTCAGCAGATTGACATTTCAAAGAACTGAAAATTTATCTGTTGATAAAAATGAACAATTACAGATTGCTGCCGCCATATTTATGTACTTTTCTCTAGCAGCTGATGATTTAACAGACATTACTTCAACTGCTGAGGTGATTTTGTTTGCTAGAGGAATTTGCGAAAATTTTGAAAAACTTGCTGGAATGAGTTCATTGAAGGGGGAAACAATTGGAACAGATATTTCAACCTCCATTTTATACTTGTGCTCTGCACATAATTTTGATATTAACAAACTTGTTAGTATCACTACTGATGGACCTCCAGCCATGATTGGAATTCACAGTGGCATGCTGAGTCTACTGAGAAAACATTTGGATGATCAAGATCTGCTTGGGTATTGCCATATTGTACATCAAGAACAGCATTCTCTGATATGTTTTTGTTTAACCTATTCCCATGAGCTATAGAGATAAATTTTGTATGTATCGTAGCTAATTCATCCACAACTCAGCCAGCAAGAAACAAAAAAATAAATTCATAAAGTCTACACTTTCTTGCTCCACATTAATTAGAAAATTTTAAACCTCCATAGCATAATTTCTTTGAGCTCGATTCTATGGAATGTGTTGGGCATGTGTCCCAGCTCCAAAAAATGCCAGAAAAATTTTTAAATTCAACACTGCATAGAAATTTGGCATTGCACACATTAAATATTTTATATATTATAAGATACATTTCTGTTATTACTTTTTTTAGCTTTTTGTATCATTAAGAATGCCCCCATGTAGTTGAATTTTCCAACAATGTTAATGTTTGCCACTAAGTAGTGCTCCGTTAAATGTTAAATATCACACAGTAAAAATGATGCAATATCTATATATTACAGAGCAATTTTAATGTTCAATATATAATATAGAAACTTCAATATAACTTTAAATAATATTTATTTTTGAATTAAATTCAGTTTAACAACTTACAACTAAAAATGCAGCCTGACATATCTCTCAACAACATTTCTCCACCACAAGCCAATGTAGCAGATCGGCAAACAAACTATAAAAGAAGATCTAAATATAAATAACATGCAAGAAATATTTGCATATGTTATTAAATAAAGAAATTAAAATTTTAGTTATACTTAAATGCACGATTGAGTACTTTTGTATTCGGATATAAAAATGAGCTAGCAAATTTATGTGAAAAATGAAATAACATGCAAAACACATATTTAAATACCATATTATACAATATTAATTACACATAACAACTTTGCACAAAATACAATACATTCAAGACTAACATATATATTCGAGTAACTTTTTAGTTTCAGAAACATATAAGAATTCTTCCTTCTTTACATGAGACTTGACAACTTTTTTAACTATAAGTATGTAAAACTTTAGACCATTTAACATATTAGAATACCATTGAAATTACATAATACATTATATGCAACCAGAAAGCAGACCTTCCAAAAGTGTAGCATCTTATATGCAGATACTTACATCAGATCATTTAATTTGGTTTCTGAATTCAGTGTTAGAAGATGATGTAAAAAGAAAAAAGAAAATTATTTAAAGCCTAAATGCATTCATTCATTTAAAATAAAAATCTGTTAAAAGAGTTCAAATACTTTTATAAAAAAATTACATGCTTTTCTTCTACAATTTGAACAGCTTTATTATTATACAAAATTTTGTAAAATAAGTCCTGAAAGTAATATTTTGTTTAAATGATAGTATGAAAAACTACATGCAAAAAAAGTAGAGCAACATAGAAAACAACTTTCCTCCAAATTTTTTGCTAAACCTCACAATTCATATTAGAATGATGAACATTAATCCAGTTTAGTAATCAATTAACACATCTTAAGTGGGAAATAACTAATGTTTTGCGTATATTATTATTAAAGCATGGAAAATGACTAAACTCGTTTTGTACAGATAGTTATTAAATTAAGGAGACAAGTAAACTTGTTTTGTGCAGATAATTTTGTTTTAGAATGAGAGAAGACAAAACACGGTTTCTATGAATTAATAGTGAATTATTGTTATCGACAGATTTTTTTAAAAATAACATTTTTTTTACAGTAAATTACTAAAAACACAGCATGACAGAACAGAACATGATGATGACGAATTATGTGCAGATAGATTGTCAAATTATTCCTGCAAGAATAAGCTTACCGATGATAATTCTAGTGAAGGCGAAATTATATGATATCCTTGGACTTTTCACCAACCAAGAATTTCAAGCAGCTCTGATTCAAGACCAGATTCAGATCATTCTGATTCTGAAGAAGAACGGTCATCAGCATACTATCTATCAATCTTCTAGACTTTTTTTATACTGGTCGGGAAAAAACACAGAAAATGATTCAGATAGTGTTGCATATATAGTCTAAATGTGAACATGAGACAGTAAAACTGCATTAGTATATTGCTGGCCTGCCATAGTCCTAGTAGCAAGCACGTGTACGGGCATGCTGTCATTGATTATAATGCCAGCCCATACCATAATACTGCATCTTGAATATCGGTCTCTTTCATGGATATTTTCTAAATTATAAGAAGTGCGCCTTCACATCAGATCAGTTGACATCTACAAGCCAATGACAGACTGAAGGTACTCTCATTTAAGAATATAATGAAGACCCAATTCTGTTCAGTCAAACTACAATGCATACAACTCCAGTGCAGATGTGAAGTACTGTGCTGTCTGAACGATGGGATGTACATAACAGATCCATGGATATATAGTCCTCCTTCTACCAAACTTCTGGCAACAGTTTATCAAGTGATCTCTCCTCCTGTAATAGCATGAAACTCATTTGCCACCAGTTGAGTTCTGATATGCTGGTTTCTTTTTGCTGATAGGGTAATGTACCTAACTCCTCCAGTCATCTGTCAACAGTTACGTACATATGAACACTACGTACCATCAACATCTAGCATTACAGAAAAAGTTATAAAGGTATTATTCTCTAGGGAGACTTTCTGTCGACATGAGGAAACATACATTAGAAGCCATTGTAAAAAGTATATGAAAGAAAAATACTTTGGAAAGAGGTTATGTGCACTCCATCAAGAAAATATGCAGTGTAATATGGTATATGCGTAAATTTTGCAATGTACCCTTGTACAAACGAAAACACTTTGAAAGATATCACATTTTAAAAAATTAGTATTTTTTTTATTTTGGAGAAAGTGTTATTTTTTTAACACTTTAATGGAAAATGGTTTCACTTCAAAGAGAAGAAACTTTGTGTACCAATTGCAAAAAAAACTGCCCATTATATGGTGAGAGTTTAAGATATGTACACCTGCTTAAAATGTATTAATTACAAAACAGACCATATACATAATTACATGGTCTCCAGTCACAAAATTTCAAATTAGACAGCAATTTAAAAATTGCATGTTTACAAAATGATTTCAATTCTTTGTAAACTCAAACTTACTTCAGCATAAATGAAAGACTATAATTTTAAACCAAAACAAAAACAAAGAGTATTATTTATTGGCTTATATTAAAAATTTTTATCCAAAAATCATCACCTTTTCACTAAAGAATAGTAAGTTACTTTACAGTACCTATTCTGTTGAAAAGCAAATCAAATAAAAAATTTTAAATAAAAATATAATTTAAATTTTAGGGAGAAAAACTATCAAATATTAAAGTATCATAATTCTGCAGTTTTAAGAAATAATAATTTATAAATTATATTACAGTACAAAGTCCATAATCCGGACATCCATTATCCGAAATGATCTATAATTCAGACTTCAAAGCCACAAACTTTTTGTGTGTGTGTGTGTGTATGCTTTATGCACGTTCGTTTAATGCGTGCTTTTATAGTGAAGAAAGTGACAGAGGTTATTGAAAATAAAAAAATTTCGATTGACAAGTTAGTCCATATTCTCGACACAGCAATTACAGGACTTGAACAGTGGAACTTTGTAACTGAACAAGAAATTATGTCTGTTTATAGAATTAAAGAGAAAGTATTAGCACAAAAAAAAAAAAAAAGCAACTTAAACAACTTACATTGAAAGAAATGTTTGATAAAGTAAACAAATAAGTATTAAGCTTTTTTTTTTTTTTTTTTTTTTTTGTACATTTTGATACTCTTTAGATTATAATTGCTCTTTATTTCATAAATTATGGTTTTATATTTTAATTGTATAATTTCTGCATGCCATCTTGCTAGATTTAAATTGATGATCTATGATCCGGAAAAACCCCTAATTTGGAATCGCCGAAGTCCCGACGAGTCCGGATTACGGACTTTGTACTATATTATGTGACTATAATAATATGAAAGACATACTTAACAATATCAAAATAACAGATATGGAATAAATCTCAAACCTTTCCTTCACATAGAATCACAGGTACAGGAAACCTAGTACGACACCTGGCTAAACTTGATTTATTTGCTATTTCTTTAAATTTAACAGCGTCAAAGTCATAAATTCCACTAGCTGAACTGTAGAAGGAACATATAAAAACATAGAACAAATATAATATTCAATGATAAATTTTTAAAAAAAAATGATTCTCAGTCAATGTAAATAAACAGAATTCATAAAATACAATATTTATTGTACAGCAAAAAAAAATATTCTCAAACTTATCATATTACAGCTGCATTATAAAAATTTGAAAAAACATTCAAAAGTTGAACAGTACTGATCACATTAAATTCAAAGAAATTAATTATCATTTTTTATGACTTAAATTTGTTCAAAGATTTTATTTATGCTTTCACTGCTCAAAAACATTATAAATATATCCATAAATAATATTGTTTATGTTAAATATTTTTAATTGGGTGCATTAACTTTTTATTTGATTTGATTAGAAGATACGTATATACAAAAGATCATTTTTCAGTTGCAAATTTTGCAGCTAGTAGTTATGATAGAACTGCTTCACCCCGAAAAATTCTCATTGAAATATGCCGTCTGAAACTTTTTGCGATTACAATACTTCCTTTTTACTTCGTACAAGGAAGTAAAAAAGGTGACATGCAAACAAGAGGAGTACATGTATTCTAACATTTTTTTAAATAAAAATAATTACTTTCTTCGTGCAAGAAATGCAGGCGGTTCTCGAGCCCACGTTTCAAACATTGCCAGTAACATATACATTATTATTCATCTATTTCAGTTATACAAGATTTTACCAATAATATGTAAAGCTCTTACTCAGCAAAATTTTAAAATTTAGGAACTCGGCTTTCTCATTTACTCTTAAGAGAAGGCAATGAAATGTCTGACCCTGCAACAGCATCTGGATATTTGGACAACATACACAGAGCTCTAATAATATTTTTTTTCTTTTTTTTCCAATGCTTGAAGTAGGTAGCGGATCAACAGCATCAACATTTAATTTAGAGAATATTTCAGAAATGACTGGTACTAATGTCATTGGAGCTTTCTTTTTGTTATTTCCCTTTCCAGTGTGCTGACAAGCATCATAGGTTTTTACAAAAATCTTCGCTTTCTTTGTAACACCTCGTCCAATAAAAATGTCTGGCTAACCTTTCCTCAGTCTTTTTAACACCCAAATGACCAAAAGTTCCTTCATGGCAAATCTCTATAATTGACAACTTGAGTTCTTCAGGTGTAACTACAAGCTGTCTTTCAAAGTCTGTTTTATCTGTTGTTTTTTTAACTAAAGGTTTTTTTTTTTTTTTTTTTCCTGTCAGATTTTGCATGTACCTTTCTTAACTTCTTGGATGATTTTAGACAGTTCCTTATCAGCAAGCTGAAGTTGTGCAATTTCTTCTGAGTCAATGTTTACCAGTTTCATGAGAGCTTCATCTTCCGTGTTTAATTCCGGTAATTTATCTTCTTCTTCAAAAACATCTCTGGATGCTTTATTTTCTTCCTTCATCGGTTTCCAAGATCTTCTCTTCACCGCTTCAGCTATTTCTCTTTCCCTTTGAGCTCTAGTAGAGACAGGCATTAACCTGGTGAGGACAACTATCAGGTTCCTTTCTTTGTTATTCAACAGTGCAAAAGTTCGATTGCCTAATAAATACCTTCCTTTGTCGAGTTCATTTCTAATAATGGCAACCCCTTAGTTATTACTCGCCCAAGATCGCAATTTAGTTCGATCTCAGCCAATGGTAAACAGGTTGGATTCAAGTCTAATGGCTGTTGCACCCACACATTTTCACCTGTCAGCATTTCCGGCGTGATGTATTTGCGACAAACTATATCAATACTAGAAATTGAATCCCTTAATATAGGAATTTTATAACCATTTATGGATCCTATAATAGTACAGTCAAAAGTCTTTAATACAGACGTCCATAATCCGGAATGATCTATAATCCGGACCTCAAAGCTACAAACTTTCTGCGCATGCATAAATGCATAATGCATTTACGCATGTGCATAATACATTTATGCATGCGTGTTTAATGTATAACGAATGGTATAAGCTAAGCTAAAATTATCTAATTATCTATTTCAGTTAATGTTGCAGATTGCGTTGTTCCTTAATCTTCTAATTGGATCTGGCTTTTTATTTTTTGCAGACTATTAGAGCAATTTTATAAAAGTAAGCTTAAACTTTCGATTATGTCAAAAAGAATTTCCAATTCTGGAGCTGACAAAAGGATCTACAAAGCAAAAGCATGTTTCAATGCCCATCAAACAAAAAGTGGAATTGCTGCAAAAAATGGATAAAGACATATCCTTTGTTTCTCTAACCATTCTGAAATCTGTTTATCAATTTCACGCTGCTCTGGGGGGGGAAGAGAGAGAACCTAGCGGCGTGCAGTGAACTGGAACTTGATCTCTCAGCAATCATTATCTTCAGGGCAGATGTTTTTATTTTATTCAGCTTATAATTCCTTACTAAATGTAGTATTTCATCTCGATGTACTCCGTCTTTGATATGATCTAGATCAAATTAGTTTTCATTATAAATATCACAAATACACATCAAATAGTTTTCTGGTTGCTATTTTCTAATTTCGACTATGCGTAATGTACGCTTTACACATGCGCACGATGAAAGAAATGTTTATTGAAGTAAACAAATAAATATTAAGCTTTTTTTTTTTTTTTTTTTTTTTTTTGTAAATTTTGATACCCTTTAGATCCTAATTGCTCTTTATTTCATAAATTACGGTTTCATATTTTTAATTTTATAATTTCTGCCTGCCATCTTACCAGATTTAAACTGATAATCTATAATCCCGAAAAACTGATAATCCAGAATCGCCGAAGTCCCGACGAGTTCGGATTAAAGACTTTTGACTGTATAAAGCAACAGACATTTATACTCTGGTTTTGCAACAATTCTGTTAAGATTAGCAGGAGCTTCAGTACTATTCTGAAGTTTAAGACATTTTCAAAAATAAAAATAATTACTTTTGACATGCAAGAACTGCATGCGGCTCTCGAACCTGCGTTTCAAGCATTTGCCAGTAACATATACATTATTCATCTATTTCAATTACACAAGATTTTACCAGTAATATTTAAAGCTGTTATACAATATATATTTAGATGTTTAATCCTCGATAAGTTTAATTTATATAATTCAGTACTATTAAGATAACCAAGCAATTTCAACAATGCTTTCCAATGCCTAATTCCAGGATTCTCCTGAAACAGCAATAAGGTATTTACTGCAGACGCGATATCAGGCCTTGTTTTATTAGCTACAAAAACTAAACATCCTAATAGATTTCTAAAAGGTAATTTTCGCATTTCAGCAGTTTCTGCACTTGTAGAAGGACAATCTAATTTTGTAAGAAGAGTGCCTTTAACTATGGGAAATAAAATTGTTGGTATCTGAAAATGTTTAAATTTTGCAAAAATTTCTTCTATATATTTTTGCTGATGTATGAAAGTGCCCTTGTCGTTTTCTAAAAATTTTATTCCAAATAAGTTCTGCCTAATACATTAAAATCAAAAAACTAACCCAACTGTGAGATTACTTTATCTATAGATTAATGATCTTTACTACAGATTACAATATCATCTACATATAATAAGAGGATTACACTATAGCTTTTATAAACACAATTACACCATAGTATTTTCTATTCGGCATCGGCCAGAGGCAACCATGTTAGTTTATCGATGATTGATCTCTGAACTAATCTGCATGAGGAAAACAACAAAACATTAAGTCAACATTTCAGTTTAATGCACTAAGAAAAGTTGACGAGGAACCATATGCTAAAAATAGATTTTGTTAATGATACTCTCATAGGCCAAAAGATTACATTTAGTGCTATTTGAATTAAGAATAACAGATCTGTAATTCACTTAAACCCAGAACCAGAGCCAGAACTCGTATGGCTACAACGAGCGACAAAATTTGCGGAAGACAAAATTTTTGGAATTTGGAGAAGCACCAAGCAACAAAAGTAAGGGATGACAACATTTTTAGAATTTAGGGGAAACACTGAGACCCAAAATTTAGGAGCGGCAAAAATTTAGAACTTAGGGAGGCACTTGGTAGCAATATTTAGGGCCCGCAAAGGCTGAATCGGGCGGTAATATATCTAGCGGCGGTCCTCGATAAGCCTTGTGGGAATTTATTTATTCAGGACTTGAATAAGTGTTAAGCATGTGCAAGAAATAGATGTATGTATAATAAATTACTAAACTAATACAATTCAGGATTTATTGTCTCAGCATGCGATAGAAGAAACACAAAATTTAGCAGAACAACTTGTCTTTCATCATCAATCTCACGGTACATATCCAATAATGTAAAGTGGACGCTGTTAGCTAAGCTAAAATTATACTTTACTGATTCCAAGGAATTTCAGTTAATATAGCAGACTGCACTGTTTCTTAACTTTCTGATTTGATCCAGCTTATTATTTTTTGCAGGCTGTTATTATTACAGCAATTTTATAAAAATGAAAATTTGAACTTTCAATTACATCAAAAAGAGTTTCTAATCCTGGAGCTACAAACAGATCTACAAAGCAAAAGTATGTTTCAATGTCCATTAAACAAAAACTGAAATTGCTGCAAAAAATGGATAAAAGTATGTGTCTCAAAATTATGCGAGGAGTATGGCATTGGAAAGTCAACTATATATGACATGAGAAAAAAGAAACTTTTCAAATTTTTGATGGATTCCAACACCCTACTTGCAATGAATAACAAAAAAAAATGATTCATTATGCTAAAAACGATAATCATGACAAAGTGATGATTGAACACGTCAGACAGCATCGCAGCGAGGGTGTGACATTGATGGGTCCAATGCTAATGGCTAAAAAACTTAAAAACTGAGTGCATATATTCGCAAGTTGGTTAAGCAAATTTAAAAGTTGCCATGGTATAAGGCAATTAAAAATTTAAAGTGAAAAAGCTTCAGCTGATACTGAATGTGCTGACCTATTTTTAGATGAATTCATTGAACTTAATAATCGTGAAAAGTTATCTCCAGAACAAATTTACATTGCTGATGAAACTGATCTTTTCTGGCAATATGTACCACAAAATACCTTGGCAACCTTTACAGAAAAGGCTCCAAGTGATGCCTAAAATTCCAAAGTGAGACTAACAATTTTAGCATGTGCAAGTGCTGCAGGAACGCACAAGTGTAAACATTTCATAATCGGAAAAAATACACGACCTTGAGCATTTAAAGTAATAAAAATTTGCCCCGTTATATATCATACAAATAAAAGAGCATGAATGATGCAAATGTTAATGAATGATTGGTTTGAAAATAATTTCATATGGCAACATTTGAATTCAGTTGGTTTACCTGAAATGAACGGCTCATACTTCATTTTAGGTTTTAGTGAAAGATAATGTATCCATATTATTATTTTCCCTAAAACTGTAGGCGCATCATTCAGCCTATGGACATCGGAATAGTGCACGCACTGAAATAAATGATTCAGAATGAAATAAATAAATGATCATAAATGATTCACAAATACTGACTACCATTTTTAGAGTCCACGTTAAATTTCTTGAATAATGGTAAAACTATTCAAGAATTTTTGAAATATTTTAGCATAAACTATGCTGTGTGGAGCATTGCAAGATCGTGACAGGATGTGTCTCCAGATACTTTAAAAAATGATTGGCATAATTTATATACAGCTACCTTATTTCACAGTGAGGATGATGAAGATGATAGCCACAAATTTGATGGTTTTGGGGTATGTCAGACAAAAGGTGAAATTTTCCAATTAATGCAGTTTGTAAAGAAATGTGGAGAAACAGTAATAAATGAAGACAACATAACAGAAGTTTTTCATTGTGATGACATGCCACTTATCAATCAATAGACGTCGAAATCTGTACTATGGTTCTAGATCCAGAAAATACTGCTACTGTGAAGAAAGTGGCAGAGAGGTTATTGAAAACGAAAAAATTTTGATTGACAAGTTAGAAGGAATTCTTGACTCCACAATTACAAGACTTGAACAATGAAACTTTGAACAAGAAATTATATCTGTCTGTAGAATTAAAGAGAAAGTATTAGCACAAAAAACACAAAGCAACTTAGTTTATATTAAAAGAAATGTTTAATAAAGTAAACAAATAAACATTAAGCTTTTTTAAAATTTTGATATCTTTAGATCATAAATGATTTATTATTTCATAAATCAAGATTTCATATTTTTAATTTTATAATTTCTACATGCCATCTTATTAGATTTACACTGATGATCTAATATCCGGAAAAATCCTAAATCCAGGATCGCCAAAGCCCCGATGACTCCGAATTTTAGACTTTATTTAGTTTTGTATTCAATAATCTTCATAAAATCATTATTAAGGTACGAGTACATTTTTATGAATTATTTATAGCTAATAATTCACATATAACATAAAAAATAAGAAAAGTGAAAATATAAACAATAGTCAGAAAGACGAGTTCTATAACCATCAAAATCTTTAATCTGCACAAACCTTGGCCCCAAGGCCTAAGGATTGTTGAAATTCCACTAATTAGGATAATTCAGTAAAATTTTATTTACCTTTTTGACAGCTCTAACTCTTTCTTTAATACTGACTTTTCCTTAGCAGGAATTATTATACAAGATGGATAATTGGTAGATAATGTCCCTCTTTCATTTTCTATTTTCTGAAATGAAATACATTGTAAAAAGTGAAAATATCTGGAATGTAACATTTTAATTATAAAGTAAAAAGAAAAAAATCATAAAATAATGCATTAATACTGTGCTAATAATACTGTATTAATATTGTATTGTAATAATACTGTATACATTAATACTATATTGCATGAGCACTGTTCTTGTTGTTGTTACTAATCTCCACGTCTAGGAAGATACTAGACGAGGTCCTCGAGCCCATTCACCTACAGAAAATCGAAAACAAGCTTAGGAGACTTTTAAGGGTCCTAAAGAGACAACTCCAGGCACTCAAGGATATGTGACGGTGATGCCGGTACATTTAGAACAAATTGGGTGCATCTTGAGAAATCTCTCAAAAGTAAGTCCTTTCAGGTGTCCACTGAAGAATTGGGAAAGTGTTGTCTGAACACATCTATTGCAATCAATAGCAAGAGATCTTCCAGGACAATCAGCTTGATACCAGGAATGATTCGGGGGAAATGAGCCAAATTTGCATGTCTTCTAATGGAATACAGTTCAAGATATGTCAATGAATTGGTAAATGGTAATGGTTCTTCAGAACCCTCCTTCGCCAGAATGTCTGCTATTTCATTCCTCCCATACGTCAACAGGGGAAGGAATCGACTGAAGGTGCACTTCACAGAGTGACGAGACCTACTTAAGCTTGCTAAGAATTGCAATTCCGGCCCCATCACCAACTCTTTGCCAGTTTGAAAGATATTGGATGGCGCTACAACTGTCAGACAAAAACTTGCCTTAAGATCTGTAAAGGACGAAACAGCATTTAGTCCCTCTTCGATAGCTATAAGCTCTTGAAAACCGAAGTGAAATCAGAATTCCTTTTCTTTATTTCAACAACATTTCACTTGCACATTTAATGACACTCCACTACCGGAACGAGAGTGCTCGCCTCTACTCTCATCAATATAGATAAGGGTAGCTTCAGCAGGAATTGCGTGTATAGTTTCTAAGGCAGATTGTCGTAACAGGGCCGGAATATCATTTGGAAACTTGAGACAAAAGTTCCATATGAAACTCGACTCTAGGGAGACCCTCAGATGGATCTAAACATTGTTTCAAGGAATGCTGCTCAACATTATGGTCAATTATATCAGCATACTCAATTTGACTAAGTGGACTATTTTTCTTAAGTCTTTGGTTATTACTCCAGTGCTGCAGGAATTCTGAAGTTCTATTTTGGGAGCCATAACTGAAAAGTTTATTATAATATTTTGCAAGGCCAGCATTTCTTCTTAGGCTAAGGGGTTGAAGGTGTGTTTCATACAATGCAATTTTATTCGGGAAACTAGCATTGGCTCCCCAATCACGTCCCGAGATATACTTTAAAATGTTTAGTCGTTTCCTGCCCCTAAAAACCAGTGCATCCACATGTTTGTCACTAGCCATCTCTGGATCGAGAACAAAGCCCAAATATTTAGGATGTTTGTCCTACGTAAGAGGCAAGTTATTCATAAAAACTTTTGGATGATAATTAGAAAACTTCCTATTCGTGGTAAAAAACTAACAATAGATTTAGTTGGATTAAAACTCAATTTGTGGTTTTTTAAGAATGTCCAGATTTCTTCAAGGATAAGATTTATATTGGTCTCAGTTGAACTCGCATCTGGGCCAGAGCTCCAAAGGGCGATATCATCTGCAAATAGCCCAACCTCACATCTCCTTGATATAATCTTCTCAATTCCAGCCAAATACAGACAGAAAAGAATTGGGCTCAACATAAAACCCTCGGGGATGCCTTGGCTCAATTTAAAGGTGTTTGACATAGTGGAATTAAGCTTTATTTTTATCAGTCTGTTTCTTAAGAAATCTGCGATCCAGGTCAAGGCTTTAACCCTGATGCCAAAGTCTCCATAGAGTTTAATAATTAGTTTATGTTTCCATACACGGTCAAATGCCTTTGATAAATCTAGAAAAGCAGCTACAGTATGATTGGTAGGTCGCTTGTTTTGGGCATCTCTAATCTTCTGGCTGAAATAAACCAGTTGATCAGTGGTGCTATGACATCTTCTGAAACTGTATTGTTCTTTTAGGAGGAGGTCATGGGCATCCAGGCGGAAGAGCAACTGCCCCATAATTCTTTTTTCTGTGACTTTACATGCAATGCTGGTTAGGAAAATGGGTCTGAAGCTCCCAGGAGATCCATCGGTTTGGCCAGGTTTCTCAACAGGTATGATTGTGGCTCTTTTCTACTCTTTAGGAAGGCGGCCAAGACTCCAAAATTGATTCACTATATTCAGAAATTTCTTTCTTGCATGAATGCCAAGATGCCATATCATCTGGCCATGGATGCCATCAGGTCCAGGAGTTTTGGTCAAGTCAAGATCCTCGAGTGCCATCTCCAATTCATGCATGAAGAAGGTGCCCGAGACAGCACTACTACATCTATGTGTGAGATTTCTAGACCTTTTTGCCACTTTCTTATCAACCTGTAAAAGTCAGCTCACTTATTTTCTGGTAATGTGCCCCGAGGAGATCAGCCGCAGCTTTGTCGTCTATAGGGATGTTCCCATCCGTATCTAAAATAGTATTACATATCTTGATCTGAGGTTGTTCACTGCTAATATTTTTTATCAATTTTTACAGTTTCATGTCAGATGATCTAGCATCAAGTCCCTCACATGTATCCATCCACCTCTTTCCTCCTGAGCAGCATATAGATTCATTTTATTTCTGCATTGACTTTGTTCATCTCTGTCCTGTTTTGCTCTGTATTACTGTTTTTCGAGTCACAGGTTCTCTCTCTTCCAGAGCAAAGGCAGCAAAGCTGGCGAATTATGAGTAAAGTAGGGAATAAAGAGCTTTACCTTTCCTCCAGGTATAGTTCTATTAGCTGCCTTGAAGAGCATGTGCTTGAAAGTAATTCAGTTAATATCAAAGTCACTTGAGTGAATGCTAGTTTCAGACATCGTGTCAACGAGATCACCAAAGGCCTTCCAGTCTGCCTTAACAGAATTCCAATATTTTTTACGATTCAGGAAAGTACATTGTTTCTTCTTTAATTCAATTAGAGAATGGTCACTCCCAATGTTTTTCATAACTGTCCAGGTGCAAATTGGAAAGATAGTGGGACTTACTATGGACAAATCAAGGGCTTCAGATGTGTTATAGCTGTATGAAGAGTGCGTTGGAGTACCATCATTATGGATCATGAAACCCGAGTTTTGGAAATATAGTTAATATCTCTGATAAGGAAAACGAGGCCACCGCCTACCTTCTCATGTCTGTCTAAATGGATGATGTTGTATCCCTTAACTTTTAGTTGAGAATTCTCTCTCAATTTAGTTTCCCGTAGAATGATAATTTGAGCTCCCTGGTCTTCAACCAACTCCAATACAGTACAAAGTCTTTAATCCAGTCTCTTTGGGACTTCGGCGATTCCGATTAGGGGGTTTTCCAGATTATAGATCATCAATTTATATCTGGTAAGGTGGTATGCAGATATTATAAAATTGAAAATATGAAACCGTAATTTAAGAAATAAAGAGCAATTATGATCTAAAGAATATAAAAATTTGCAAAAAAAAGCTTAATATTTATTTGTTTACTTTATTAAACATTTCTTCAACGTGTGCATGCTTAAAGCATGCATTACGCATAGTCGAAATTAGAAAATTGCAACCAGAAAACTATTTGGTGTGTATTCGTGATATTTACAATGATGAGGAATTTGATTTAAATTATATCAAAGACGGAGTACATCGAGATGAAATACTACATTTAGTAAGGAATTATAAGACGAATAAAATAAAAACATCTACCCTGAAGATGAGGATAGTGCTGACAGATCAACTTCCAGTTCATTGCACGCCGCGACTCCCCCCCCCCACCCCTCCGCACAGCAGCGTGAAATGATAAAGAGATTTCGGAATGGTTAGAGAAACAAAGGATATGCCTTTATCCATTTTTTGCAGCAATTCCACTTTTTGTTTGATGGACATCGAAACATGCTTTCGCTTTGTAGATCCTTTGGCAGCTCCAGAATCGGAAACCATTTTTGACATAATCGAAAGTTCAAGCTTACTTTTTATAAAATTGCTCTAACACTCTGCAAGAAATAATAAGCTGGTTCCAATTAGAAGATTAAGGAACAACGCAATCTGCAACATTAACTTAAATAGATAATTGGATAATTTTAGCCTAGCTTATACCATCTGTTATACATTAAACATGCATGCGTAAACGTATTATGTGCATGAGTAAATGCATATGTGCATGCGTAAATGCATTTATGCATGCACAGAAAGTTTGCAGCTTTGAGGTCCGGATTATAGATCATTTCGGATTATGGAAGTCCAGATTAAAGACTTTGTACTGTATTTGGACAAGTTTAGATTTCGCTATTTCGTTTATACCCAGCTAGAGCCTACACGCATCTCAGTCCTCTACCATTGGTGCTCGGGTCTCACGACTTACAGAGGCTGCCCTTTTCCTCCACCCATTAATCCTGAAGCTTTCTGATGTAATGCATACTGCATCGCCTGTCGCACAGGTTCAAAAAGGGCGCGTTCGACGTTTAGGAAGACTACCTCGTCTGAAAAATAATCTACAGTCTCCTAGACTACACACTCTTAAAATAATTCAATGTAATGTTAATGGTATTAGTATTGGCATGAGCCAAGTATTGGCATGAGCACTAATAACTAGTAACAAAAATATTCAATCAAAATCTTAAAAAACAACCTTATATTTAGCGTAGGTATAATGAAACACTCAATCGATTTCGAGGGGCAGCTAAAGGTCCCTCCTCCTCATCAGGAGAAAGAAATAAAATACTATTTAATCTTCTGAGTGGCAAGCCTTTTTAAGGTTTGCTCATGAAGAGCAGTATTTAAATAACATTTTATTGCTACATTTGCATAATTAATTATTGGAGCAATGTATTAATGCAATTGCCTCAGCACAATTCGAAGATTTCTTACAGATGCAAAAGAATGATGGCATAAGTCATTATTCAGTTCATTTGCAAGAATTTATTCATTACATACATAGATATTATTACACATACATTTTATGTTTTAATTAGATTTTTATTCTAAAACATTAAATCAATAGTGGTCATGCTACTCAGGAGGTTACGATAATACATATACCAGTTTCAAGAGTGGCAGCGAAATTCTAAATTCTGGAAAAAAAAAAAAAAAGTTTTAATCAATAACTAAATTTAACATGTATTTCACTTACACAGCAAATATAATCTCTCTCAAACAGTTCTTCACATTTCTTGTGTATTTCATAACTCTAAAATACAAAAAATTTCAGTTACTGTTTATTTATAACAAATAAATACATAAAAATACTGAGGATGCTGAAAGAATACTGTATTAATAAAAATATAAACTGAAAAGTATTTGTCTTGCAGTGAGGTTAACAAAGTTGCCAAACTTAAATCCTGTAGAGTATATCTGTGATGCTCTATGAAAGTCCTCCCAAGACTCTCCTGGCATTAAAATCATCACTTTTAGAAAATTTGACAAGGCTTAATGTCAAGCATGCAAAACTGTGCAATATGGCCCTTTTCCTTATTACCTACATAATTCTGAAAATATGCGGTGTCATGCTTTGGCCATTTTTACCTTCATTTGCATATTGCAAATCATTTACCCTTTGTTACCTTTGTGCAAATCATTTACCTTTTGTTATGCTACTATTGCATGTCTTATACTATTGAGCATATGTGCATAAAATTCATTATAATAAACTAATTATTTTTTGAGTTATTAAACATTTTGTATTTGTAGCTTTAATTTTAGATATCAGTGTATATTATGTTCTGCAATGAACTTTTCCATTATCAATCATAGTGGCATCATATCCAAATGAGCATGTATAGATAATTTGAGTGTGTCTGAGTTGCTACACTTTGGTTACGTAAATGGACACTGTCATTTTTGCCTCTATTTCAAAATTTAAAAATTATGAACTTAGCCTTGGTATAAGTGAATTTGTTTCCTGATAAAATTCTTCTGTAAAAATAGTATTATCAGATGAGAGTACGCACAGTTGGTTCTGCTGTTTTTTAGACACCAACTCCTCTCCCAAACAAAAAATTAAGCAAAGAGACGTAATTTAAAATAAGTAAAGCTATCGTAAAGCAAACAATGCGATTTAGCATCAATAATGGATAGGCGTGACTTTACAACACACGCATGAAATCATCCCTTTGGTTTTATTGGTTATTCAAAGAGCATAGGATTGCAAACACCAGAATTTTCCTAAGAAAATGTGTCTCACTTCATCGGTTCTCAACATTGAAGGTGGACAGAGGTTGGCTCTCCGGAACAGTGTTCGGGTAGACTAGACTTTAAGGTACCCCTTGTATTATGGCGAAGTTGTTGTTTGATTTATCACCAAGTTGTTTCATTTATGATAGCCTGAGTAGTTGAATGTTATGGAAACCCTATTGTGACGTAATCGGGTGCATGATTCTGGCATATTTTGAATCATGGGATGTTTTGTAAGCGTTTTTGTGGTGTGTGTTAAAACTGTTTAGTTGGATTTGAATGGGTTTATAGGAAGAAAGGATCAGATAGTCACTATGTGAAGCGTTCGATCAGAAAGAGTACCTGGTTTGAAAAAAATTTGAGTATGACTGATTTTTGATTTTTACGTGGCTCTGGGTGTACGAAGCGAACTCGCAAATCAATCATGGTAAGTGAATATTTGCTTTTGGTAGTGCTTAAATGTATAACATGTTTTTTCGTTTTTTTATGTTTATTTTATTGTTTGGTTTTAAAATGTATTTTATTGCGATTATGTATTTTTTGTTTGCCTATATTGTAGACTTTGGTACTCCTTTGACTTTTTAAGTGAAAATATATTGATGTGTACATGGACAAAATAAGGGCAGTGCGCATTGCAAGTTTGTGCAATTCTGGGATTTTTTTTAAGTGAAAATAGGTCGACATGTATATGGATAAAGTTAAAAGAGTGCGCAATGCCATTTTTATGCAATTCGGGGATTTTTTTTTTAAGTGAAAATAGATCGACGTGTACATGGATAAAGTCAAAGGAGTGCGTAATGCCATTTTTGTTCAATTCGGGGGGGGTTAAGTGAAAATAAGTTGATGTGTACATGGATACCGAGTTTGTGCAACTGCTTGTCTTGTTATTTTGGCTTTGTGTAGTGGCAATTTTTGGCTCGCAAGCCAAAATAACGAGTCAAAGAATTGCACAAAATCGGTACCCATGTACCACCAAAAACCGCCAAGGGGTACCCTAAACTATACTTTTACCCAGTGATCCATAATATTTCTTCTGTTTATTTAAAAAAATATTACTTCATTACTTACAAAATCGTTCTAAAATGTGTAAACACCCTCTGTATATGCTCACTTATAACATGTTCTTTACAGATTAAGAAAATTAATGTATTCTTCAAAATATAAAACAGAGAATACAATTACAGAAAGTGATTTTTCAGGTTATGACAGGTAGGTTTCACTTTTCTTACTAATCGAAACTTTTTGCCAATAAGTAATAGACCTTAGTGCAATTCAAACATATAACCGCGTTGATGAAGAATTAAAATAAAATTTCAACATTAAATTCGCGTCACTTAAGTAGAATTATAATGATCATCCACTTAAGTAGAAATGCAAATGCATTGAAACAGTTTTTAAAAAAAAAAATCAAATACGAGGTTCTTTAATAGCATATTCAATTACATGAAATCGCGAAATGTGCAATGATCCGATTTACAGAAATAGTAAACAACTAACTTGTTCACCGGCCCTGGCATCATACTGGCCTTTCCTAGAAAACAAGGTTAACAACTGTTCGATATCTTCGGTATATATCGTCGTCATAATTTCCGATCATGAATATTGAGTAAGCAACTTGAATATAATACGTCGCATCATTCTGTTAATTAAATTTCAAAATCATAAAAAAACAATTTCCACACTATTAGACTTCTAAGACATTTAACCTGTTGGAATTTGTCACGTGTAGGAGACAACAACGATTGGCTAACTCAGTAGCGAACTGATCAATGGATAAAAAAACAACTAAAGTTTCTTATACTGATTAGTTACGGCAGCTATTTGTAGGTGGCAGTAAACAACAGTCATTGAGCTACGCAGTACCTTTTTTTCAACATTTCTCAGTCTCACATCTTGTGTAAAATAACAGTATTATCTGAATTTTAACAAAACTTTTATGCTTAAAGTTTAATCCAAAAACTTAAATAGAAAGTTTTATGCGAAAACTATGTTTAAAATTATAAAGTTGTGATGTCGTTGAATGTGTTAGATCCGTGACACTTAGCCGGAGACATTTAACCGGCATGGACAAAGGCCGGACATTTCGTGTCGGTTAAATGTCCGCATATCAAACAAATTACGCTCATGACCTTAGTGTATTGAAGCACTCTAGCGGTGTCACATAATAGAGTTCAAGTACGCGATCGTCCAAAATAGTGTTTGCAACAATTTTGTATAAATTTGAGAGGAAATATTGTAATAGCATTCTTGAAAACGAAAATACCTCTTCATCTTGCAGTCGGATGGTAAGTGGCCCTAATCCTTCGATGGTGTAAATATCAGGTTGACAAATCTGAAGACAACAGGTTTGATAAGTATGATTCTATTATTCTATAAGTATAAACCGGAACGACAGTTCTTGACCACAGCCGGTGTTTCTGTTTATGATTATTAAATGCCTCGATAATTGCAACAAATTTTTTGGTAATTTTGGCCACCACCCACCAGTTGAAGCATATCAGATTCACTGGAAATCAAATGCACCACTGGGAGCTCTGGGCTCTGGAACCCTTTCAATTTTCGTATATTTGCAACATCATTGCAACAACAACAAATTTTGTATTCCCTGCTCCGCAACTCGAATAGTCGCACTACAGGTCCCCCCACTCCTTAGAACCAGGACTTTTCATCAACTTCCTTTCTGGCCCCTTAGGGAGGGAGACGCACCGCCCAGGTAGTCACCCGGAACGGCACTATTCTTCATTTGCTACCCACCAGTCGCTCGGGCTGCCCGTCGCAGCGGGACATTACCCAGCGTACCCGAGAAAATCCCCCGGGCTACTAGTACCACGCCGCGCTAGGACGTGACAGACCCCGAGGCCGGTCAATAAGTGACCTTTCTCGGAGCCTTCAGAACCACCAAGTTCATAAATTTTATACCCCCGTGGTCGAGACTGAATAGGTACAGATCCTAGCCAATAGCTTCGCAGAGTTCTCTACATCAACCCCCGGGGGAGCTACATCATTGCAAATGCTAATAAATTCGCCGGTGCCCTTTGTATTATGGCGAAGTTGCTGTTTGATTTATCACCAAGTTGTTTCATTTATGATAGCCTGAGTAGTTGAATGTTATGGAAACCCTATTGTGACGTAATCGGGTGCATGATTCTGGCATATTTTGAATCATGGGATGTTTTGTAAGCGTTTTTTGTGGTGTGTGTTAAAACTGTTTAGTTGGATTTGAATGGGTTTATAGGAAGAAAGGCTCAGATAGTCACTATGTGAAGCGTTCGATCAGAAAGAGTACCTGGTTTGAAAAAAGTCATTTGAGTATGACTGATATTTTGATTTTTACGTGGCTCTGGGTGTACGAAGCGAACTCGAAAATCAAATCATGGTAAGTGAATATTTGCTTTTGGTAGTGCTATATTCGGAAGTACCTGATTTCTCGATGAAGGAAAATCTTAGGGGCAAGGCACTCCAGTGTTGCATCACTTGTAAGAAACATCTAAGCTCTAGAGCCTGCAGCGTCGTTTTTGCTTTTACTAAAAGCCTGTCTACATTATCGTATCTAAATTCAAGAAATAATTCACGGTGTACTAATCCTTCAATCTTGAAACTTTAAATAATATTTTAGCCCAGGCTGTTTGTTTTATACGCCTGCTCTGTGAATATTAACCGGAGATTCTCTTTCGCCCTTTGGATTCTAGGAGGGGTATTGGCCCCTGAATAGTTTACCTTTCCTAATTGTTACAAGAGAGAAACAAAAAGAGGTTGTAGCTGACTGAATTTACAGATATATAATAATAACTAGATAACTGAACATGAGACAGCTCGCTACTTTCACAGATCTTGTCTTTGAATAAAATCAAAATTTAAATTACCTGTCTTTGAATAAAATCAAAATTTAAAAGGGAAGAAATATTATTTTATTAATCGTGTTCTTTCTCTGTAATTTTTAATTCAATCTAAATTTACGAAATAAAATATTTAAATAGAACAGCAGGGCTTGTTTCTTGCTTTACTATATTATTTATCAGATCCTGTTTTTGTCAAGTTTGACAAAAAAAAAAAAAAAAGAAGAAGAAGAAGAAGCAAAGACTACGATCAGGGAATTCCAAAAATAAATTTACAAAATAATGCATTGTAACATTTTTTAAAATTATTCTTTCTTATTTGAACAGACTCCCTTTGTAAAAAAGAAATATGTCCATGTTCTTTCTGGCATAATGTTTCGGAAAATGTTTCCTGAATAGAGGTTTCTCACGAAAACATTTATTTATTTATTATAACTGCAAAATGAAATCTGTGTAGCTAATACCGAAGCTGAAATGCAAATAATGTATTACTATCATTCTGTTAGAACATAAATAAGGATAGCTCATTGGGATGACTTGGCATGCGTTGTTCCGACGCTAGTTGAGGATGTTCCTTTCTTTTCTTTTTTAATTGTCCCCTAAATACATAAGGTTGTGTTCATAAAAGAAAATATGCATTTCAGAGAATGTTCTAAAAGAATCTAAATCGTATTTGCCTTAATATGCTTTCAGATCGAAGAGCAATTTTTTTTCAGCTATAAACATAGAAATAGTTTGACATAGGCAGTTACGAGTCAATTGGCGCAGGCCGATGCTATTCGCACCACCGGTGCGATTAGCCGCTTAAGCTATTCGCACCAACATTAACCACGCATGCGCATTGAGTTGTCAGATCTGCAGTGAATCTTTTTTTTTTTTTTTTTTTTTTTTTTTTTTAAAGGTGGGTTTCTACCTTGGCGTAGTTTATCAATTTTTTTAAGCGTTTGGCGACTTTCAAGAAGTTTAAAAAGGAAAATGGGTTCCTTTTCTTATTTTTTTTTTTTAAAAGGAACACATTTCCTTTTATTATTAAAGTATATATAAAAAAGGGTAGATTTCTATGTTCGCAATGTTTATCCTTTTCCTGAACGGTTTGAATAGTTTAAATGTCTGATTTTTTTTTGGGGGGGGACAAAATCTTGTTTACATTTTTTTGTACTTATTAGAATACATTTAGCTTTAAAGATGTGTTTTGCACGATCAAGACTTTAATTCATTTCTCTTGGAAAACTTTCGTCCGATAAAAGATGCTAAAAATTAGACAGAGGATTTCTGTGTAGAAAATTTAGACATGAAATAAGTTAAAAGCGATTGTAGCAACTATTAAATGAATTATTCTGTATGCCTGCTTATTTTTTTTATGGAAATACTTGACATTTTCAGGACACAAAAAGTGCTTCAAAGAACTTTGAAATATTAGTACAAACATATTAATCAATTAAATTGAAATAAATAATGTGATGTAATTTAAAAGACAATAATTTAATGTAAGAGATTTAGATTTAAAAATTTGCACACACAAATGATTTATCAGATTTCATAAGGTTTTATTTCATAAATAATTTTGATTTTGAAATATGGCATTTGAACCTATAAACCTGTGTGGATACTGAAAAAGTGATGAATATATAAGAATATTATCTGTAATGTTCAGTAAGTTTTCTTATTTAATAAGGAATTCTGACAGTCATATGATATTAGACTAAAGGGTCTAAGTTTGCATAAAAATTCCTCAGTTAAATAAAATAATTTAGGTAATTTCTGTAGCCTTTTTTGTCAAGACACTTAAAGATTTTTTAACCAATTACTCGTCGTCGCTTGCAATTAGAGCCCATCATTAAATCCCCTACTTTATCCTAATAATTTCCTGAACATTATCATGTATATAGATTGACCTCGTCTTTGTAACTGATAATTATTACTTGCAAATTATTCTCTTGCTGGTGAACTATTAACAACATTCGCTCTCACTACCGCCTGCCTTACGGAAATCGGCGTAAAATGCTGGTACCTGGGCTGATTTTGCGTATGCGCGAAAGTAGGTGGTGTGAATAGCCTGTTAGCTATTCGCACCGTCGGTACGATTAGCCACTGCGATTGGGGCATTAGGTAATTATAAAACCGGGAGAGAGGTGAGGAGCAACACTGGATTAGGGAGATATAAAATCAAATAATATATAGATACATAAGTATAACAAATACAAAAGAGTGCAATTTTTCATTAAATAGATTTTGAGGACAGCCTTTGCCCTATTACTAATTGCTACATCATTGTAATCATACGAACAGATTTTAATAACGGAATTGTTTATAGCAAGGCTAATATAAAGATACTATACTATCTCTAGTTTATAGACCTCTGTCTCTCATGGAATCTTTTTGCAAGGAAATCCTCGTGGATCCGTTTATTGCGAAGGTAATAATGAATGATTTAGTGAGGTCTTCGGACTGGCTTTCGAAGCGGCTTTCGAGTCGCGTCGGCGTGCCGGAAAGATGACCAAACTTGATCATTTAGAGGAAGTAAAAATCGTAACAAGGTTTCCGTAGGTGAACCTGCGGAAGGATCATTACCGATGGTCAGATTCGTCTGGCAAAAAACATTGGTTAAACTCGGGAAGGAGGGTTCGCCTTCCTTCCCTGTGCTGTGTGCCACAGAGCGGCGTGGAAGCACAGAAAAACTTTGAATGCTTATTTTTGAAATCCCAAGTGGTCTCGCACGGGGCATCTGCGATCTGCCGCAGAACCCAGTTAAATGTATGCAACTTTTTTCTATTACAGTACGCAACCCTTTCTATTCTTATTTTTTTCCTATTTCTATTCAACCTTTTTCTATTTTTTATGTTATGGCAAGTATACGCCCAGGCTGGAGACGTATAATAAAGCGTGGAACACAATATGGATTTGTAAATGACTAACCTGTTATCTATAGATAGAACGCTGTTTCAAGCAATTAAGGGGTAGAATTTGCTTTACGAGCTGGAAACTTTTGGATAATAGATGAAATGTGTAGGGTCCATGTGAGTGAATTATTTTGGATCACCCCAAATTTTTCGCCATTTAGCAGAGCGGTTTGAGCGAAATTTTTTCGGCTCTAATGGGTCTTGAGGTATCAAAGGTTTCTCTAACGAAACAAAAAAAGATAGAAGTTGCCCACAAGATTTGAAAAATTTTCTTGCTTGAAATCATGCTTATTTTTAAATAAGCCTTCATACAGATTTTTCTGTATTTTCCGAAATAAAATGAAACTGAAACATTTCTCTGCATTTTTTAGCCTTTTGTCTCTTTCCTTTTAAATTTAAGTCATTATTATAAAAAAAATTACTTATAGACAATAAAATGAGCTCTTTCTGGTTTTGCAACAGAAATATGCGTCTTATTTACTATTTTTTAATTCTGTGTTTATCATCACCTTGTTGCCATGGAGCATTGTAAACAAACTGCACCACTTGATAACATAACAAAATGCTAACGTATGTAATGACACTCGTACGATTATTTACAAGTTTATAACGCCATTATTTTTTATCATTCAAATACGTGATTTTTTATAGCGTAAAATGAGTGTATTATCTAACAGTGATGTCGATCTTCGTTTATTAGTTATGTCAAATGGGTTTCCAAATATCCAATTTTTAGCGAAGGTCGCGCGGAAAACTGTGAGAAAAGCTATTTATACGTATGAAAGCAGCTCATTAGATGACATTCTATGTAAGTATAAGCATAAAAAAAAAGAACTTATAATTGTTATTTTTTTATTTACCTAATTATTTATCTATTTATTTTTTTATTGAATTATTTTCAAAATTAACAAACTAGAAAAGATCAATATACATATTCATACATTCTTACATATTATAGTAACAACTTAAAAATGTTGTATACTTTCATTATAAATTTCGGTTTTAAGAACTGGATATGAGACTATTATGCATTTTAGAGCATAATACCAAATACTGAAAATTGGAGATTTACAAAACTGTTCCCCCTCTTCCATACTTAATAGGTAACTGTGAATTTCACACAGTGATTGAATTTTTGTTATTAGTGTAATTAGTATCCAAATGACTGAATAATAATCTTCATAAATATAATTTTTTAATTTCGCATATACTTTCTCCCTTACTTTATGCAATTTTTGTCTGTGCTTAATCACTGTATATCATATTTAAGCACTTTACCTTGATAATCTTTTCTGAAGATTTTCAAGGTATTTCTGTAATACATGTAAAATTTATTTAAAAGCCATAAGATTTAATTTTTTTCAATAAATCATTTTTATGCAGAATTTTTAATATTTTCTTGTTAGTAATATAAATTCTGCATTTCAACAATAATTGCATTATTTGAAAATTTGCAAAAAAAATTTGGTACTTACGTATTAACGCAACCAGGCCAAAAATTCGCATAAAGTGCCAAATTTGGCGACCCTACTTACGGCAACCCTACGTGTTATACGTAGTTTTGTAAAAAGAGCATGTGGAGATTCACAAAATTTTCCTGCATTTTAGTGCAAATTTTTGTAATTTATGAGAAAATAGCAGTGTATATGGATAAAGTCAAGAGTGTGCGCAATGCCATTTTTGTGCAATTCTGGGATGTTTTTTTAAGTAAAAATAAGTCGACGTGTACATGGTTATATGGCGAATACGGTTTTTCAATCAGTGCTAAAAGCAATAGCCAAAAGATTTCCGCCGAAAAAATAATTCTGCTACTTATTCAAATTCGAAACCGGAAGGGTTTAATTTCTATTTTAAATTTTAAAACAAAATAATATAAAAAACTGTATTGAAAATTATCTGTAATTAATAAATGTACATTTTCTTTCTATTCATACTTTTGTACTCAAACTTACAAATAGCGCCAACCTGGTTGCGATAATATGTAAGTACCAAAAATTTTACCAAAAAGCCATGTGATCTATATTTACTAATTTACTAACATTACTACAAAATAGATATGATAGCTACTTTAATGGGTTTCTTTAACTCTTTTTAAAAATTCTGATATATTGTTTTAGTAACTTATATTAATTATTGCCTCGTAATTATTTTGTATAAATTTTTACAATATTAGTTTTACAGTCATTTTGGTATAATTTTTTTTTTTTTTTTTTTAAATAAATGGCTAAGGTATAAAATTAGATATTCACCATTTTAATTTTATTGTAAAAGAGAAGAAATAAAAATAAGATATTATTTTCGTAACTCCTGGGTAATCTAATTTAAGAAGGCAAAAATGTTAAATTCAAAACATATTCTAAATATTATTTTATACTATTGTAATCATGATACCTTTTTTATATGGTTGGACCTTTTGTCAAAATTTAATGTCCTGATACTTTTGGATGGTTAATAATGTAGACTCTTCTATAAAACTAATAAATTGAAAACGAGATACAATAAATTTCAAGTGCTTAAGCTGACTTGAATTTTATTTTCTTCTTTCTTATTTTAAACTCTAAAAAATAGAGCATATATGTAAAACTGCCACTGTGTAATGTGTAATGATGTTTATGAGTTTAGATTTCATATTCATTTAAGAGAAATTAATTTTTTTTTTAATGCTGAAAGTACTTTATGAAGTTGAGCTATTCAAAGTAATTATAATTCTAGTTAATAGTGTAAGTAATTTATGATCATCTGTACTTTTATCATTTAATAATTTTATCTTCAATATTGTGATTCCACCATTCATCTTTCCTGAATAAGTTTGACTAGTGAATGAAAATATGATGCTGTTTTTCCTCCTAACTTATTATTTAAAGTTTATTATTATTATCACTGATTTATTAATTATCACTGTTTTCTACTTTTCTAGAAAATGTCATAACATACACTGATTTATCAAATGAAGCTACATAGAAACAGAAGATTATATTCATTTCCTGTACAACTGAAATTTACTTAGCTCCCTTTTTTAAAATCTTTCATCTTGAAACATATTGTCAATGCTGATTATTCACACAAGAAAATTTAAGATTAACCTTGAGCATTTTAAAGATATTTTTTTCCTTTAATATTTTAGCTCTGAATAATAGATTGTATACATTATTCTTCAACTTAAGGTCTTTTAGGTATAAAGTGGTTATTATGCAATATGTAGCAATGTTTTTAATTCTAATTACTTTATGTAATAGATATGTATCTCTGATTATTGTAATTATATTTTATTATATATATCTTATTATAGTCGAGGCACTATTTTCTTTTTTTGGTACTTTTCCGTTTTGCCGGCGCAAACAATAAAGTCGCCAACAATGGTACAACTAATTCCAAACGGAATATCTTCGCTGGTAACCTTTTACGCCTCAGTTCCAAAAACAAGTCGCAGCCATTTCTTATCGGATTGTTTCTTTAAATACTGGCATACAATTACATAGAATTTTTCCAAGATAGTTAAATTTTATGCCCCAAGACCATTCGCGGTAATTAAGTCAATTAGAGTGCAATCACACCGCTCTCCTGAAAATAAAGAAAAGGCAAAATCAAGGGTTAAATTCATCAGTTCTAATGAGAATGCACCAGCGAAGTAAAGCACTGCGATTTTACATAATTTCTGAGTAAGCTATTCGTATGAATTGAAATAATTCTTGCATTTAAACTTGTATTCCAAATTAAGATTTTAACTTGAAATTAATGTAGATATTACTGAACTAGATTTTTGTAACGTAGTTTACGTGGTATGATATCACTTGGGGTCACGTGATACGAATCGGCGAATCAGAATGTTAAACCATGAAAGTATAGTAACTTCTTAAATTAATGCCTTTTTACAAATTTATTGTCTTTATTTATTGGCTTCTTACAAAATTTTAAACCATATTAAAATGTTTATGCCTTCAAAATAAAAAAATTCTTAGAACTAATGTTTGTTAACATTTTATGTGTATACTGTATGTTTTCGCCAACAAAGTCTGCTTGGCAAGATTTGTGTTGGCAAAACGGAAAAGTACCCTTTTTTTCTTATTATTTCTTTTAAACTAAAATGTAAATAAAATATTTCTATTTTTATCAGCTTTTATTATTGCTGAGCTTGGAGGCAAAAAAGTTGAAAGCATAGCTTTTGTCCTTCATGGGGATGCAAAAGAAATGTATCTTGCTGGAGTTGGAAATGTGGTAAGTTTTACAACTCATAATGAAGCACTTATAAAAGCATGTGTACAACATAACACATTGAAGTGTCACCGAGAAAAAATGTTTTTAATTAATGGTATTACAAAAAGATGTCACTTAAAATATACACAAATCTATATATTGTTTAATATTTGTAACGGTGATACTAAAATTTCAGGTATTGTTCTGTTATACAAGCATCAGCATTTGAAAAGTAATTACTGTGGAGGGAATACTTAATTCCCAGAGCATGGACAGATCGTTCTAGTTATCTACTGATAGTTGTGTGGATAGATAGAGTAAGTTTGCAGATGCATTAGAGTGATTGAAATGGTTAGATGTTTAGAAACGTTGTCTCGCTTGGAGGTATGAGCCATGATTCGTTGTCTTGATCAAGTATCTGGAGGGTGGCCATAACATTGCTGGCAATTGTTATTGTGCCACTTGGACAAGGTTGCATGAAGCCATATGATACAAGCGCTGTGGCATGTTGAGTGATGGTTTAATCCTCCTGCATGGCAATGCCTGGCCCCATACTCCTCACCAAACTCAAGAATTGCTGCAAATGTTTAAATGGGAAATCTGGAGTCACCTCCCATATAGCCCAGGTTTAGCACCCAGTGACTATTTTCTTTTCAGACCATTTATTTCTCAGACAGTGATTCAGGTTCTCTTTAGACAGTGATGTGAAAACAACCACTGAGAACTGGCTCAATGGGCATGGATGTGATTCCAAACAAGCTGGCCTTTCTTTCAGATAAATGCCTAAACAGATTTGGTGATTATGTGGAAAATTGATAAGCAAGTGTGCTTCTTTATTGCCTTTTGTATTTTTTGTCTATTGTTAATAAATAATTTTTTATTACACTTGTAACCTTTTTTTAACCCCTCCCTCGTATGTATGCATGTGTAATATATGTAAGTATGAATGTATGTGTGTGTATACATATACACATATATTCATGTACATGCATACATTCATGTATTTCGTAATGCAGTCCTGATAACAGAACAGTACCAAATTCATTTAAGATTTCTTTTATTATTTGTATTTAATATGCTAATTATTGAAGAATTTAATACTGTGATAATATGTCTGAATATTGACAAACCTAATATTAAAATAACTAATGAATTTTATTGATTTGATAATTAAATAATAAATTATAATGATAGATAATAAATACTATCATTATAATTATATTATAGATATAAAATACCTATTACTATAAATAATAACTTTATTTTATAAAAATTTTAATATAATAATATGTTAATATGGTGTTTTTAGTTGTTTTTTGATCTAGTTCTGGCTAGTGAAGTATCTAAAGTTTAGTTTAGATACTTCATTAGTTTTTCCTCAATTTTTTTACAGCATGATGGAGATATCTTGTATTTCTGATTTTCTGCAGAATATTCAGTTTATAATATTTATGAAATGTCTATTTTTTCAAGGTTATATTTCATCTAAAACAATTTATCTTAACCAGTTAACCAAAATTATTGTCTTATACCTTATCTCTTATTCTAATCAGAAACTTTTGATCAATTTTTTTTTAAATCTCTTACAGCCCTAGCAAGCTAGGAACTTCTAAATGCATAAAATGTTACATTAATTTCAAAATTATCTTTTGTATTTCAAACCAAGACCATTTACTTTTCATTCAGAGATTAAATAACTTTGTAAATACTGATTTGTCTGATGATTAAATTTGATACTTTTAATATTCCAGTACATAACCATGACTAATTTGAATGTTTAATGATGATTATTTAATTATTAATTAATTAGTGATCACATAAATTCATATTTACAGTAGAATTTCAATTTCCTGGAGTTACTGAGATAGGATAACAGATGATCACTGTGATTGGGTATCTTTTTTTTATGGGTCAAATACATATTTATACTAAATTATTACATGATACAGGTGATAATCATATGATACATACAAAAATGTAAAATATTATGCTTTATTCAAAAGACAAAAAGTGATATATTACCCTGAACGTAAAAATTTATTGACAGAAAACAACAAGGCATACACTAAAGTCTATTAGAAAGTAGCTCGTTACATGACATATTAGAAAATAAATATTATTGTGGGCATACATGTTCATAAAAGCTGAATGTACGTAAAAGTTATGAAAGCTTAATAAAATTTATTTTATCAAAAAAATTATCACTTCATGGTTCTGGAAAAAACATTTTTTGTGCATACAGGTTTGTAAATATTGAATGCACACAGAACCCAAGACAGCTTGATAAAATTTATTTTATCAAAAGAAAAACTTCACAGTTCTGGAACTTTCCACAAAAATATTCATAGAGCTCTTCACTGTATCACAGAGTGCTATCAATAGTTACACTTCAAACTACTAAGAATGTTAACACAATGCAATGCAAAGCCCATCTAAAAAGGTGAAGCTATCATGGACAGGTACAGATAAAAGCAGTGAGAGCACCAGAAACTTTATTTAAGTTCGAAGAGGTATAGCTCCCTAAAACTAACCGACACATGGACATCTCAGTACTGTGAAGTTGCTCTCATCTAACAACTACTAAACTGAGAAACTGATCCTGTTTCCAGTCTTATATAGTTGTCACCTGGCTGCCGACATATTTCTAGTACTTTATGCTTCTCAAAATTGCAGGAAGTTATATGAGAGCCAAAACGGTTACAGCTAATATAGGAATCAATTACAATATCTATTACAGTTATACGGGAACTGGACCCTAATATCACCAAATGATCACCAAGTTTGGTGTCTTCTGGTGATTTTTTTTGCCAAATTTGGCTACAAAAATTAGTCACTAAAACCATTGCCCGCTTTGCGATATAGCCATTTACTCAATGCCATTTACTTCAAAAATATGAATACGGGGGCTTACCACTGTATTCTTATTTTTCCGGTACAGCATTATTTCTCTCAAGCTTTTCATGTTACATTATATAGAAAAATATCATTTCACTAAAATCATCTATCTGTGTATAAAATTTATAACATTGCCTCCTTCCCAAGGACTGCACGTCCCGGGCAGTATGAGCCCCTGGAAAGAAAAACATACTAAGGAAAATCAATGCAATGCAATAACTCCACTATATAATATAAAACAAATCAAATACTAAATTCATAAAAATGAATTATAAGAAAATGCATAAATTTACAAATTTATGTACAAATAGGACCACTACTTTAATATACTATTTACATTATACATATTATGGGGACTATGTACTATGGCCATAGTAAAGGACTAGCCTGTTGTAATGAATTACTTTAGGCTTAGATTTTGATGACTTAACGGATCCGAATTATGTCGTTAAGCCACTTTAGTGCTGTGTAAGGACCATTCTGAGGTGGCTGTAGTTTAGGAGAACGTCCTTTCCATTGAATTGGATTCTACAACTACACCTTGTGATCTTCATTGAATCGATGTCCTGTAGCTCTCATCTCAGGTTTCATCTTCTCCATCGGTAAGCTGATTCACTCACGTTCAAAATTGTGTATCACTTGAAACTGTGCCTGGAGATCCTGGATGGAAACCATCAGCAAGAGGTTATTAAGGATGGTTTAATTAAACCTCTCTGTTACACCACTGTGGATGTAAAGGTATTCTTTGGGTTTTTTCCGATGCCAAGTAGCTTGCAGAGATCTTTAATTACAGCTGAGGTAAAATTCCTTCCTTGATTAGAATGCACTCCAAACTTGGAAATCCAATGCTTTTTCATTACCTCTGCTATTGTGACAATGTTTTAATCAGGAATAGGGTATGCTTCAAGCCACTTAAGTAAGTGAAGTAATCAGTGACAAAGTGGATGTGTTTGTTGCTATCAGCAGTTCATGGCAGAGGTCCCAGGATGTCAAAGATGATGCATTCAAAAGATGCTCCTGCATTGTAACGTTGCATCTCCCTTCTTGGGTTCTTTCCAACCCACATAGGCATTGCAACATTGGCACCACTTTTACATGTCATCCCTTGCATTACTGTAGAAGTGCTGTCTAACTCTATGTAAAATCTTCATTATTCCGAACTGGCCTTCCATTCTCTAGCTATATGCAAAGTCTTTATTATTCTGAAATGGCCTCCCATAGGACTGCTATGTAATTCTTTAAGGACGTCCAGTATCAGAGGTCTTGGAATTACATGCTGCCACTGGAATGTTTTCCATCATCTGATTCGAACTTCTGGTATCAAATGTCGTTTCAAATATAAAGTGAATCCCAGAGAGCCCAGTATTGTTTTGTTGTAGGACTACAGATCAAAATGTCTTGCCAGGTAGGTTTTCTATTTGAAGATTCTATTAAGTCAATTATCAGTTTAATGTTACTGTCTTCCAGTTGGTCGTTTTTGACTTCTTCATCAGTCCATGGATCTCAATCAGCTGATCCTTAAGTTGTAACTTGTCGTGTGACTAGATTAAACATGTTGTATTTTGCTTCAACCCTGAAACAATATCAGTAGTTTTCTGGCTCGGGTCTTCTAGACAGGGCATCGGTGTTTCCATGTGATGATCCCTTTTGATGATGGATAGTGATGTCCTTATGTTGAATTGAATATTATTGATGTGTTTGTTTAATCTGGTTTTTGAATAGGAGAATTGTCATGACTAAGCAGTAACTCACAGAGTAACCAAAAATAATAACAATAATCTTGTATCACAGTATGTGTATTTTTTTTATTTATACCTTTATAGGTCTCATAATTTATGAACATTATGGGCCAAATGTACATTTCATATTCATTCATATTTAATAGTTTCTTTAAAAATATATATTGCACTATATTATTTTTTAGACAATTTAAGTAAAAAATTTATTATTTATTAAAACAAATTTATTTAATAAGTTTTTTTTACTTGGCCATTAAAGAAAAAAGTAATCCATATAATTGGAACTCTGATATCTAGGGTCCTGATAATTGAAGTTCTACAATATTTAAAATCCAATATATAGGTTTTTAATACTAAAAGAAATTTATGATATATTTATTATTGTTGTTTTTATCAGTGTTAGAAGATTACTGTTGTTTTCTTTAATGTTAGAAAAGTATTATTGCTTTTGCATAAAAGGCAAATCTTTTTTAACATCAGCTTTCAAAATATTTTTGAGAGAGATAGATGAGGGTTTAATATCAATCTTGTAAATGAATGTTTCTCTTTTTGTTTAAAATAAGAGCTAGTAAAATCACAATAATCAGTCAATTTAATAAATATATTTTAAAATTTATTATTTGATTCTCATGCAATGTTATCATTGTTTTCTAGTAAACATAGCAGTTTTATTTTTTTCTAAATATGTATATGTGCTTCAATTAAATAAATTTTTAATTGAAAATGCTGAAGTAAAGATTTAATTCGAAAACAGAAAAGAAATTTTACCAAATTTTTCATATAAGGATTTCCTGGGCTAATGGCATATGTATTTCTTGATAAAAAGTGACTATACTGTGTCTCATTTTAAGTTTTTCTGTCAACTTTTTTAAAAACATTAATAGGTAAGTGATGCCGTCTTAAAATTCATTCACCTTTGATATTAAAAGTCAATTTTAAAACTCAATTTTTTTTTTTTTTTTTTTTTTTTTTCAGTTTGCTCCTTTTTTCATGCATTATATGTTATTACTGGATATTATGTATTTTAAAATTTATTTTAATCATGTTCAATAAAATAAATCTTATGAATAAATATTGAGATTAAATTACTACTATTGAATAAAATTACTCTATTTACTTTAAGAATACTTAACGCTGAAAAATTGTAATGTCTGTGCTAGTGCAATGAATCTGGCATCATCATACCATGTCAAATTCTTTTAAATCATTGTAATAATATTAAATAAATATTTTAAAAATCTGTTGCTACAGTTAGCTGGAATCAAGTTTATTATGTGAAAAATCAAATTCTAAACATTGTACGTGATTTATTTTTGACTAAATTGAAACTTCTCTAATTTAGCATCTAAACTATGTGGACTTCTCTGAATATCTGTACTTGCATGTTATGTGCTATTTATTTTTATTACAAAATGTGATATTTATTATTAGTTAAATTAACTTTAATTATATTTAATATCACATAACTGAAGGTATATTTACAATGTAGGTACTTTCATATCAAGCCCTTAAGGATGACAAAATGTTGAGGGAATTCTTTATCTGCTTATCTTCTACATTTATGAATATAAAATCATCTTCTGCAAGACTAGATTTCTTAAATTCTCAACTGAAAGATGAAATTGCTGTTTTGAAGTTATCTGATGAATTACACAAAATAACCAATGTAAGTACTCACATTTTCATTAATTTTAATATGCAGTATTTTTGTAATACTTCAATGAAGTCTATAAAATGTGTTGTTTTTGTTAAAATGTTGTATTCACTTACATAATAAATACCTAGTTTAATCTTCTAGGAAGGATATGACTGCCCTTTAATAATTTTTCCAGTTGGAAAATATTTGAAATGATATCTGATCATTCAAAGATCAAGAATGATCAAGAATGGGATGAAATCTTTTCAAAATTGGAATGTGAAAAGGCAGTTAATCAGCGCTTGTTTTTCACAGGTTTTAAGCATTTAATATCACACACAATCATGTTCTTATTACTTCTTCATGCTCAGTCTTGGAAATAGGATACTTTCTGATTATCTACACTCCCTTCCTGACACATCAGCAGCTCACTGTTTATTAATTCAGCAACTCGCTGGTGTCAACGATTTGTTGGTAATTAACTTTTCACCAAGAAACAGCCATTTTCAAAATGACAGTACTCTTAAGAATTCCGTAAAAAAGCAAACAATCAATAAAATTTTTTAAAAAAGAAGAAATATCTCTAATAAAGTACTTACCTCTTTCAAGAAATTCTTGTGTAAATGTGATATTTATTATTTATTTATTTATTTTTTTGGTGGGGGTCTCTTTTTTCCTCATGTACACAGCAATCTATTTTCATTTAAAAATAATCAGAGAATTGCACAAGTTGTGTGGATCATCGCATGATCACAGTGATATGCTTTCACACATTTGCAGATTGCAAATTGCACTAACTCAGCATTTTTATGCCTCGTATATAGTAGATTCTTGTCTATTTCAGTAATGCATCCAGTGCTTGTTATTTTTTTACATTTTCTTTTTCCATAGAAGGCACACGTCTTTGAGTTTATTACACCAGTCTTATACTTGTATTTGAAGATAATTCCAGTTCTTCACAGAATTTCATTGAGGTATATTCTTTTGTCCAAATATAAATGAATGAAATATATGTAGCAAACAAGATATAGCTACCTTCAACCCAATTTCTGACCTGCATTTTAACCCTTTAATTCCAATTTTTCACATTATATTTTCATAATTTGATTATTTAAGAAGTACAGTTTTGTGGAATGTAAATTTTTGGGTTTTCTATTATTGGGCAAAATGGCATATTTCTAAAGAATTGCAACACTTTCTTTTTCATCAGCCAGCAAACTCCATAGTCCCATCATGATTCATTATAAGAAAAAAAATGTACTCGGTTCAAAAACAAATACTAATCAGAAAAATGGTTACCAAATTTGGAAGGTGGAAATTTACATGTTCTGAAATGCCCATCTGCTTCACGCACACATACTTGGGTTGCCACATGTATACATTTTGGTGCTGGCATGGGTTGACACTGAACTATTTTGGTGATGTAGTGTGTTGCCTCATGAATACTTTTGGGGATGATAATCAAAAAGAACCAACATTAGTTTCTAAAGTGACACTGATATGTGAGTCCTCGTCCTATATTGAAAAACTGTATTTTAGCTTAAAAAGTGTTAAAAATGCTAGATATAAATTTAAGAAATAATGTAATCTTTCAGATTCGTGTTAATAGATGAATGTCAATACTCAGTTTCTTTTTACTTTTTTCAGTTATTTGATTCTTGAGGAAAGGCTTGAAAATTTGTGTGCTGCCTTTTCTTCTCCTTGCATGGGTGCAGTATTGATCATTTCCTTTTTATGCATCTTAGATGATATTCTTGATGATGAAGTTATTCAATGATTGATAGGTCCTTTCATATTTTCCAGTAAACACCTCACCAATAAGTGCTCTGGCCATTTAATGAAAAAGAAATTCTTATAGCTCTAAATGATTTCTTGATATTTTCTGGTTATTTACAATTCTCCTCCCAAAAAATAGTCAAATCTGATGACTATTTTTTCATCAAGCTAACATTCGAAAGACAACAGCCGTTTTCAGAAATGACAGTGTACATGAAACAATTACATACAAATACAAGAATTACATGAAACAGTAACTAATTACTAAATTCAAAATGAAAGAAACATCCTTAATAAAACACTTTTTTATGTTCTGTTTTTGACACATACACAGCAATCTGTTTTAACTTAAAAAAATATCAGAGAATTGCAAAAACATGACATCACAGGGTAACTTGGCACTGTGCACACTGTCATTAACTTCATGTTCAGTGCAATCTGCTTTCAGCTAAAAAAAACCTACAGAATTTAACAAACATGCTATTGTTTTTCCAAGTACACAGTGATCTGTTTTCACTTCAAAAAACATCAGAAAATTGGTCAAATTCAGCATCAGTACGCAAATTTAGATTTAAAAAATTGATCATTTATGTACTAGTACTTAATGGAATGCAAATTTTTGCATTCTCTACTGTTAGACAAATTGCCATATTTCTGAAGAAATGCAATGTGTTCATTTTTATTAGCCAGCAGTCTCCATTGTCCCATTACAGTATCTGACAAGGGAGAGAAATGCACTCAAAAAAAAAAAAAAAAAAAAAAATAGTGACTGCCACTCATCTGTTGCTTGCATGCACTTACCTGGGTGGCCATATACATACATTTTGGGGATGTCTTGGGTTGCCTGTTTTGGCAACATAACATATTGCCTCATGAATACTTTTCAGTTGGGTGTTGTGTGTGGAGGTGTCCGCCGATAACATCGCGGAGAAAACAACGCAAGGCGAAAACGTCGTGCTACAAAACATCGCAGTTCTAAAACATCGCGGTACAAAATATCTTTGTCGAAAATAAAGAGGTTCAAAAACTGCGCAGTTTAAAATAAAGAGGTTCAAAAACTTCGCAGTTTTTGCGATGTTATCGTCATGCGATGATTTGTAGATACTTTATTTTTTACCACGATATTTTCAACAACGATGTTTTTAAATTGAGAAGTTTTTGAACCGCTTTATTTTCGACGACGATGTTTTGTACCACGATGTTTTAGAACTGCGATGTTTTATCTTTGCGATGTTTTCTCCCACGATGTTTTGTAGCACGACGTTTTCGCCTTGCGTTGTTTTCTCTGCGATGTTTTTGCCGCGATATTTTCGGCTGTAACCGTGTGTGGATAATCAGAAGTACCGTTTCTTCAATTAAAATGCTATCTGTTTCAGCATTTGCCTGGATATCTCATTTTGGGTTATTTGTTTATTTTTTATAATTTTTAAAAGTAATTATTGTGACCATTATCCATGGCGTTCCCTTAGATGAACCTATTCTCTTAGATTATTTTATTTCTCTAGGCCAGGGGTTCTCAACTGGTGGTACGTAAGAGAAAAATAGGTGGTATGCAAAGAAGCGAAGTATTTTCAACTATTAAATTCAAAAATTAAAACCCCAACATCCTGATTGAGGTTTTTCTCTAACACTCGTAAATTTATGTGATCTGAGCTTTGTTTTTAAGAGTGGTGGTGGTAGTACTAGTACTTTGTAGTGGTGCTACTAAAGGTTTTCAATTTTTGTTTAGATGGTGCGTGTTAGTCAAAAGGTTGAGAACCGCTGCTGCAGGCTGATAAGCAGAGTTTTGTAAATGGTTACTTTTTTACATTTTTCACTTATCTTGTACTATAGTTATTTTTATTAATTTTATTTTTAACCTATATTTTTGTGTTTTCAGTGTCCTGTTGAAATATGTAAAGACTTAAATGGATCTGAAGAAAAAGCAGCTGCTTTTATAAATAGTGATAAGAAGATCTTGTAAATATTTTTAAATTGTTTTACATTCTATTAATATTAATGATTGTTCAACATTTGCAGTTCATAAGATAAGTTATTCTGACTATTAGTGATCAATTTTTTTTTTCTTTTTGTTCACTGAAAAATCGAAAAATATTACTTACTTAAATTTAAGAAACTTATTTTTTTTTGGGGGGGGAGACTCTAGATTATCTCCCTTCTATACATTAACAATTTATTTTGTGGGAATCCATACTGCATCATTTGTTTGATGTGAATCAACAATTGGTTGTCTTCTACACTGCCCTCCAAAAGTTAGGGAACAGGATGTTTTTTGTGTCTTATTTCAGAATGAAGCTACGTAGAAACAAGAAATTTACAGGACATGTTCACTAAACAGTTCTTTAATGAGTGCAATATAGAGTATTTCTAAAGTTCAACACAATCATGAGTTTCAACAAAAAATTGCACTCTTGGCAGAGAAATTAAAGGTGTGTTGGTGCGTTGTTCCCTCCGGGTCAGTTGATGACCTCCAATGTGAACCTGGACTTGTCTGTGAAGAGAACATACGCCCTGTATTGATTGGTTTAGAAGACGTGTTCTCTTGCCGAACATAAACAGGTACCTTTCTGTCCTCGGGTTAAGGGGACACAAACAATTTTTCTTGCATACAGACCTGTATTATACAGGCTTCTGCACACTGTAGTAGCTGAGATTCTTGTTCCTTGAAGAGCATCAGTCGTGAATAAAAGTTACAATTTTTGCATTTTTTCTTCAAATCCTATAAAGTATTCATTTCTATAAAATAAAAGTGGTAGCTATTGTTTTTGCATATATTTTTGTAAACTTCGTTACTGTCTTTGTAAAACATGCTGTTCCTTAAGTTTTGGAGGGCAGTGTAGATGATACTGATTGAAGATGATGTGGACAACATCAGTCCATTTTTATTGTTCTGTTCTGAGATGATTTCTGAAGCCCAGGGACAGCATAACACTTGACAGTTCAAATCACTTCATTTTTTTTTTTTTTTTTTTTTTTCAGTTTGTTGCAGAATAATTTTTGATCATCCTAGGAAGTACTTAGGTGATGAAATTGTGGTACACTGTTCCCTATGATTTTTTCTGGAGACAGCTTCCACAGAACTTTTCATTATGACCATTATTACAATAATAATAATGGCTGGTCCATATTTTGTACTTAATAGGATTTCCATTCTTCAACATTTCAGCATCTCAGAACTATCTGAATACTTTTTTTTTTTAAATTTTGTAAGAAAAAGTAGTTTTGTAAGAATGTAAAAAGAGTTCTAGGAAAAAAGGCCCACAGGAATAATGCTCACAGAATAATGCCCACAGGTATAAATGCTAACAGGAAAAAAGCCCACACGGAAATATGCCCGCATAGAAAAATGCTCACTTAGAAATATGCTCACATGGAGAAAAGCTCACACAGAAGTATGCTCACATGGAAATAAGCCCACTGATAAATAATTCACATAGAAATGTCACATAGAATGATTATTAATGAATCAATAATTACAGTCAAAAGTCGTTAATTCGAACACCCATAATTCGGAATAATCTATAATCCGGACCTCAAAGATAAAAACTTTCTGCGCATGCGCCGCATTGACACATGCGTATAGGCGTTTACGCGTGCGCGTAAGACCTCTTACGACTGCACATTTGCGTGTGCGCAAGCGCAGAATACGTTTTCGCGTGCGCGTTTTTTGTATAACGGACGGTATAAGCTAAAATTATCTAATTATCTATTTCAGTTAATGTTGATGATTGCGTTGTTCCTTAATTTCGAATTGGATCCGGCTTATTATTTTTTGCAGACCGTAAGAGCAATACTATAAAAGTAAACTTGAACTTTCGATTATGTCAAATAGAACTTCCGATTCTGGAGCTCCCAAAGGATCGTCAAAACGAAAGTATGTTTCGATGTCCATCAAACAAAAAGTGGAATTGCTGCAAAAAATGGATAAAGACATGAAGAATGTGACGGAGAGGTTAGTGAAAACGAAAAAAATCGATTGACATTAGTCGGTATTCTCGGCACAGCAATTAACGGGACTTGAACAGCGGAACTTTGTAAGTGAAAAAAATTATGTCTGTTTTATAGAATTAAAGAGAAAGTAATTATCACATAAAACGAAGCAACTTAAAACACTTACATTGAAAGAAAATGTTTTAATAAAGTCAAACAAATAAATATTAAGCTTTTTTGTAAATTTTGATACCCTTTAGATCATAATTGTTCTTTATTTCATAAATTACGGTTTCATATTTTTAATTTTAGAATTTCTGCATGCCATCTAACGCGATTTAAACTGATGATCTATAATCCGGAATCGCCGAAGTCCCGACGAGTCCGGATTAACGACTTTTGACTGTAATTGATTTGAACGTGGTACACCTACTTGAATTTTCTAAAGAAAAATTATTTAAATTGTCAAAACATATACGGTATATATTTCAAAAACTTTATGTGTAGATTCAGTTTCTATATAAGATTAACAAATGGGCCATTTTGAATTAAGAAAAGGAGAGGAGAAAGGAAGTAAAAATGAAACCGAATTTATACAGTGAAAATTTATTACAATTGCTAAGTTATTAATTATAGAACACTATAAGCATATGGTCATGAGCAATAATTACTACTAACATCATTGTGTAATTGAAAATTCATGTTAATACCTATTTGTAGTAATTGTGTGACTCAATCCACATAAACCTTTCGAGCAAGAGTAATCAAGGTGACGTACGTCATTATAATAACAATTATATTGCGTAGGTGAAAAAAAAAAAAAAAAAAAAACCATTGCAGGTAACCCATTCTATGACTAAGGTCCAGTGTAAAATTAATTAAAATTAAATACAATACAAGGTAAGTAAAATGAAACTAACGTTTATTGAAGACATTAAATTTACAGTTAGAATACTGAATAGAAGAATTTACAGTTTACAGTTAGAATTTGTTTAATTTGGCTGGAGGCAGTCATCAATGTTAAAATTTTTGGCTGACATATCAAAATAAACAGGCACATAACTTATCATGACTTAACATTCTAAAATCATGGGAGCTTCGAATTGTTCACTGGATTTCTTTATAACCCAATTTTTCATACTGTAGTTGTAGGGTACATTACAGGGAAGGAAAATCAGTAAAACAAAAGAACAAAAAAAGACTATTAGTAAAATGCTAACCCCGAGGCGGCGGCCTGGAACTCCACCATTCTGCAATTTCCCTCAGGCAGACTCCTTGGCTGCTGGTCCCCCGGCATTCTAATTTCGGAGAACACAGCAGCACAGGTTATTTAAACGTAGTTCTCCTCCTCGTCTACGAAGCGGCTGCCCTCCACGCTGAACGGTAAAGTTGACATCTTTTTTTTTTTTGTGTGAGTGCTTCAAAGTTCTCATGAAATTTCTTTACTCTGTCACTGGCTGGTGTCAATCCACTGCACAGCCACTTTAATAGCTGGCGCGATTTTGAAAAAATTGGCAAAATAAGATGATCGGAATGATGCCAAGCACAGCAACCCAAGCAGAGCAATATTCAGGGGAAGGGGTTTCCTGACTACCAGAAGAAGCCAACTATCGCTGTTTTTTAACCATTTGGCCTCCAAGGCCATTCCACTGGGTCAACATACTCTCTGCTGATAGAAAAAGGGAGAGAACTAGCCTCGTCTCGAGGTGCAGATCCAACATTGCGAGCTTCCTATCCAACGACTTTTCACTCTCATAAACAACCTCTCCTTAGAACATTTCCCCGCTGGAGATGTCACAGCAACCGGGGTTTTGTTAAAGTAAAACTCCAGATGGTGCAAACATGCAACATTTGTTCAAACCCTTGGGCAAAAGAATTTCAGGGTACAGTAATCCCCAGATAAGGGATTCTGAGAATGAATTCCAAGCCGACAGTTTGGATGAGAAAATATTTCAGAACCAGTGAATAGTTATTCAACACACTAAATGAATTTAGGATGCTTAAAAATTAAACTATTACATAACAATTAAATTCATTAAAAAATGTTACACAAATTGTTTCTTCAGCAGAAAATTAAGTATATACACTCATTATCCAGATTGAGTTTCATTTACTATTAATTTACCTTACCACCAGTCAGAAAATATGTACTATTCGATAACTTTAATAGAAAGAGGGGTAAAAATTAAGTTAAATTAAATTAAAAAAAATTAACACACCAAAAGTGCAGCAACAAAACTTTATTAAAATAATTAAAGTTAAACAACCTTAGGGGTCAAAACAAAAAGTACAAAACCAAGTAAACTTAAGTCCCTAAACTCATATTAAAAATTAAACAACTTCAACACAAGAAAACTTTAAAGCAACCAGACCTAAATTTAAAGTTTACATAAGTTACAGTTTAATCTTACAACCAACTTTAAGCAACAAAAGCAAAAATTAATAACTTCAATTACTGATCCAAACTGAATTAAGTAAGCCAAACTTAAAGCTTGAAAAATAACAATTAATACATAACACAATTTTAATTGTTAAAAAAATAATAAATATAAGTTACACATTTTATAACAAACATTTAGAAGAATAATGAATAATGAATGAGAATTTAGAATGATTATTTTATTTAAATTATGTAAAATATTTAATTTTATCATTGATTTCATCATAGTTTCTTACATAATTCACAATTACCAAATGTAAGCTTTCATGTTTTCTTTTTTTTACTTCAGTACATCCTGTATTTACAATAGCTAATAGCAAACGTTGAGAGGCTAAATCTTTTTTCAGCCCGTCAAATAAACACCACATACTGGGATGCCTACAATTAAATAATGAATTAAATGCGTTATGAGAGCATTCGCAACAATTTGTGGTTTTAGGAGATTTCTTGAAGGCTGTTTCATAATGTTCAACTGAAAGGTATCATTAAAGTGCCTAAAAATGTTAATTTTATTTCTAGAATTTTAAATTTCTGCAGAAATTTTACAACTTTTTTGGCTCCAAATTTGAATAACTACATTCAAATATCAATTTCTATCGATACACATCAAAAGTATGCAAAAATAGAGTGAAGAACAAATAATTATTGGCAGTACAAGGAAAAAATGTCGTACAGGGCAATGGTAATAAAATATTCAGTACATGCAAAAATTTTACTACAGTTTTCATGCTTTTATTTACTGCCCCTGAAAAGGCTAATGTGAGCATTTGTCCATGTGAACATATTTCATGTGAGCTTTTTTTCCGTGTGAGCATATTTCTAAGTGAGCTTTTTTCTATGTGGGCATATTTCCTTGTAGGCTTTTTTTCTGTGAGCTTTTATACCTGTGAGCATTTTTCCTGTGGGCATTTTTCTGGTCACCATAAAAAGTTGTCGTGTGTGTGTGCATGGGGAAAAAAAAAATGTGTTTCCAAGCAGAACTTAATTTCTGAATTTATATATGTAACAGAATGACTTGGAGAAAGCAGCAATGTATTGGCAATGTTTTTCTGGGTTATAACTTGGAGAGGCTTTACTGCGTGCTAGTTAAAGAGATGAAATTCAAAGACTGACATAGATGAAAATTCTACGCATATTTTTATTCCTCGGTAACTAATTCATAAGACTTATATTCTTTTCCATTGCACATTATCATTGTGGGTGTACTATACCCCTGCAATTTACACAGATTTTATATTTTCAGAAACATGGACAATAGCTAGTAGAAGTTAAGCCGCAAATCAATGAGAAAAGTAGCATCTTGGGTGCAAGAGAACTAAAGTGCATAGTTATCCAATACTGAAGCTCACCAAGACAAGGTTTTGGTTTATTAAGAGAAAGGTTTCAGTTCTCAAAACTTCTAGTCTAGGTTCTGAATCAACTACATCATCAGCATTATTTTTTGATCAAGCCACATGAGATTAATTATGTCATCTGCATCATTTCCAAATCAAGCCATATAAGATGGATTGATCAGGAAATGACAGTCCAGAAAAATTATTACGATTTTTAGAATAGAGAGGTGGAATTAAGGACTATTGCTAATTTAAATTATAATTTTGATTACATATTTTTTATCTTACATGTACATACATACATACATATATGTAATCAGATAAAAAACTAAGTCAAAATTAAATAATAAAAGGGGGCAACTTTTCAACAGGAGATACTCAAATCAAAATTTAATCAAAAACAATTTAAAAAAAAACAAAATGAAACAAAAATACTTTTAATGAAATAGTATTAATAAAAAAGAATAAGAAGGAAAAGGAAGGCAATTTGAAAATTTTAAGTTTCTAAAACAGCTTCACACCAAATCTAAAAGGGTTCAAATTTTAACGATTGTCCAAAAGAGTTTTTTTAAAGTTAATATGGATTATCAAAAGAGATTATTGATAGAGCTTGCCCATGTGTAATAGCAAAACATTTTATAGGATATTAATTAATATGCATTTAGACTAACACTGCAAGGTCATATATGTTATGTATATTTAAAAGGCATTAAAATATTTAATGTAATTTTATGGAAATGATTTTAGTTAGATATATTATGCATCAAATACATTTTTATTTAAATCAATGGGATTAGAAAGTAATATTATAACTACATCTGTTGCGTTTTGGGCTAATAATAAATAAAATATATAAAATTGTTGAAAATTCCTTGGTTTTAAGGAGTATCTTATAGTTGCTTGCAAAGTTCTTTTTTATAATAATTTACATGGCAAAAAACCAAAGCAAGAATCAGTTTTCTTCATATAAACATCTTTATAGTCTTTGTAGAGCTCACTAACTCCTTGGCTGATTCAGCCATGACAACCTTCGACTACACTGAAAACTATAGGTGAAGTAGTAGTTATTATCTGGTAATAGTTGTAGTTATTATGACCAACTAATTGTTGTCTAATCTCTTCCCTACCAGTAACAAAGTACGTTACTCTGAAAACATGGTGGGAGCGAGATCAAAATCTATACAAATAACACTGATACAAATATATTTAAATTGAAATTATGTACATAGAAAACATAGTTTAAATAATATGAAAAGTTATAATTTCAAGAAGAGTCAATAACGTCATTGAAAAATGGAAGTTTTACTTGTCTTCCACACGCGTTATGTTTAGGTTGGGATTGGCAAGATGTATGATCACTTTTGAAGTTGGACTCAAAATTCATTAGTTTGTAACACATAAGCTGGTTTTAACCTATCCGCAGAGATATAACTTGTTTATTTTTATTGATAGAAAATATTCGGGTTTCTTTGGCAGTACAAAAAGAGTCTTTCATATGGGGGCTCCAAAGGTTTTTTTTTTTACTCTGTCAACCCCAGAAACACATGTGAGCTGTTAAAATCTTTTGGGATGAAAATCTTTGTTTACATTTCGATTTGATTGATAGGGCTTTAAGAGATTTCTGATTTCGAAGATTACTACAAAATTATATTAAATATGCATGTTTGATTCTTCAAAAAATTCGCCAAGTAATTTTAGTTTTGCCATAAACCTTTCAGCTATCGTATTACTTACAGTCCTCATGTAGAGCAGCTCGTAAACCCTAAGAATGTTGGTAATGTTTTGGTTCAATGAGAGAGTTATGACATCTAATAGCTGTTTTTAAAGTACGGTGTAGATGCTCATTTTTCCCAGTACTCTGAGGATGTAAGAAGTGTATGGGTACTTTACTCCCACATAGCGAGGCCAAATTTTGAAACAGTTCTGAAATGAATGGAGTTCCTCTGTCAGTAATAACACAAAATGTTTCCAATTTCATAAAAGGCTCTGCGATTCTTTCTGCTGTGTATTGATACGTACCACTTCCTCCAAGAGGTAAACCGATCATACACGTCAGACAATAAGTGTATCCATTAGAAGGGAATAAGGTCCAATTAAATCAATGTGCACGACACTAAATCTTTCGCTGGTGCTTGATATTGAGAATATTCTGATTTTGTATGTTTAGTTCTTTTTTTCTGCAATTGATATACAAGTTTGGGCCCCCTGTTTAAACGTCTTTGTTTATATCCGCCAAATAAATCTTTTAATAATTCTTTAACAGTACTTCGATTCCAGGGTGAGCTATACCATGAATTGCATTAAAATTTTCATCGCAAGTTTTAGGTATGAATGGTCTGATATTAGAAGTAGGTATCGCCAAAGAGGTTTCCGAAGGTTGGTGCTGTTTAATATGCAATGATTGGAATGTAATTTCAATGTTGCAGTTCATTCATGCATCTGCTATCAGGTCAAAATCAACAACAGGTGAATCGATGTCCTCAATTCTGATAGGCTTCTGCAACCACATTGTTTTGACCACTTATATAGCGTAGCTTGAGAAATGTGAGATTATTGTAGCTGTCTAGTTGCCTGGGCGGCTTTTATTATTTTGCTAAAAGCAAATGTTAAGGCTTATGAATCCTATAAATAGCAAATCGTGGCCTTCAAGAAAGTTTAAAATGTTTAACGGCTAAATGAAACCCAACGCTCGCGAATCGTACGCTATCTGTTTCTGGGCATCATTAAGCTTTTTGAAAAAATGAATAGGCTTCCATCCCTTTTTTTTTTTGTTGAATAATGACAAATAGCCAAATTGGAGCATTGTGAGAAATGGCAGAGGGTAATCCGACTGTGGTAGGCCATCAACGCTATTGAGAATTCTTGTTTACATTTTTGAAATCTTGCATTCGAGGAATGGATAACGATCAGTACAGTTAAATCATTCAGTCTTCTGTATTCCCACACGGGCGGAAGAACACTATTGTAAGGGATTTGCCCATTCTGAACTGACGGACTAATGATGTTATTGTCCAGATATATTTGATCTCTTTTAGCTATTTCCAACGTTTAGCGTCTTATTGTCTTGCTTTACAATTTAGGTTGTCCTTTAGTTATAATATGATGTTCACATTATGCGTTTAGTAGGAAAAACAAAATTTGTTTTTTTATACTAAGATACATAGCAAATAAATCAGACTTTTATATAAGTTGCCCAACACCAAAATTAACACCCAAAAGTGCAGCAAAAAACTTTATTAAAATATAAAGTTAACAACCTTAGGGGTCAAAAAATACAAAACCAAGTAACTTAAGTCCCTAAACTCATATTAAATTAACACTTCAACAAGAAAACTTTAAAGCAACCAACCTAAATTTAAGTTTACATAAGTTACAGTTTAATCTTACAACCAACTTTAAGCAACAAAAGCAAAATTAATAACTAATACTGATCCAAACTGAATTAAGTAAGCCAAACTTAAAGCTTGAAAATAAATTAATACATAACACATTTTAATTGTTAAAAAATAATAATATGTTACACATTTTCAAACATTTAGAAGAATAATGAATAAGAAGAGAATTTTGAATGATTTTTTTTAAATATGTAAATTTTTTATCATTGATTTCATCATAGTTCTTACATTTCACAATTACCAATGTAAGCTTTCATGTTTTCTTTTTTTTTACTTAGTACATCCTGTATTTACAATACTAATAGCAAACGTTGAGAGGCTAAATTTTTCAGCCCGTCATAACACCACATCTGGGATGCCTACAATTAAATATGAATTAAATGCGTTATGAGAGCATTCGCAACATTTGTGGTTTTAGGAGATTTCTTGAAGGCTGTTTCATAATGTTCAAACTGAAAGTATCATTAAGTGCCTAAAAATTTAATTTTATTTTAGAATTTTAAATTTCTGCAGAATTTTTACAACTTTTTTGGCTCCAAATTTGAAAATACATTCAAATATAATTTCTATCGTACACACATCAAAGTATTGCAAAAATAGAGTAAAGAAACAAAATTAATTATTGGCAGTTACAAGGAAAAAAATGTCGTACAGGGGCAATGGTATAAAATATTGCAGTACATGCAAAATTTTACTACAGTTTTCATGCTTTTATTTACTGCCCCTGAAAAGGCTAATGTGAGCATTTGTCCATGTGAACATATTTCATGTGAGCTTTTTTTCCGTGTGAGCATATTTCTAAGTGAGCTTTTTTCTATGTGGGCATATTTCCTTGTAGGCTTTTTTTCTGTGAGCTTTTATACCTGTGAGCATTTTTCCTGTGAGCTTTTTTCCTGTGGGCATTTTTCTGGTCACCATAAAAAGTTGTCGTGTGTGTGTGCATGGGGAAAAAAAAAATGTGTTTCCAAGCAGAACTTAATTTCTGAATTTATATATGTAACAGAATGACTTGGAGAAAGCAGCAATGTATTGGCAATGTTTTTCTGGGTTATAACTTGGAGAGGCTTTACTGCGTGCTAGGTAAAGAATGATTTCAAAGCTGACTAGATGAAATTCTCCTACGCATATTTTTCCTCGGAACTAATTCATAAGACTATATTTTTCCATTGCACATTATCATTGTGGGTGTACTATACCCCTGCAATTTACAAGATTTTTTTTTCAGAA